GCCCACTGCCCACCACCACACTGCCATTCCCCGCTACCCCACTGCTACCACTGCCACACTACCACAACCCCTGCCACTGCCACGCTACGATTACTGCTACTGCTCCTGCTGCTACTACTCCTGCTCCTCCCAAGCCTAAAACTGCAGCCCCACGCTCCGGCTTAGTGTCAGGAGCTTCGGGCCCTCAAAACGGTTCGCCTCCATTCCTTCGCCTTAATCTCTGGCCCCGGCTCAGCTCTGCGGGTGCCTGTTCGAAACTGCCTGGCCGGATTTGAAGACACCCGAAGCCGAAAATGCACGGGCCGATGCGTTATTTCCTCCCTGCAATGCCAAGAAGAAAGCCTCAACGGCTATCCTGAAGATCCGATTCCCCCAATTTCAGTATAATGCAGGGCCTTACAGAACAGGGCTGGGGTATACTAAACTAGAATGAAAATAAGCACCCCCCCCCAAAAAATGGTATTGGTAATTATGTAGGCTTCTATATTAAGGTATGTCTTCGACTTCAGCTACGGCCTGGCGAAGATCATCGGCTTGGGGGACTTCCACGGCAGCGAGCTGCCTTTTGCTTCCTGACCTTATTGATTCCCCAGGGCTCCAGTAACCTAAACAGTAGGTTTCTGTGGTATAAAGTGTGGTTAGGAACCTACTATTTGGGAGTTTCCGAGAATAAGGGACCCTAGTATAGTACCCTAAATAGTAGGAGCCGTATTATCAGGACCCCCAAATAAGGTATCCCTAATTTTCGGAAACTCCCATTTAGGTAACTGGAGCCCAAGGGGTTGGCATGAGCTATAAAGCGGAACATGAGCTTTGATGATGCTGCAAGGTTTCGGGTGGTGGAGTACTTTCCGGTGGTTTAGGGTTTATCACCTACAAGGTTTATGGTTTAGGAGTTTTGGGATCTGGGGCCTCAAAGATTGGGGCGCAGGCTGGGGTTTTTGGTTCAAATGCGCTGTCATCATCCAGTTATACTACTGTTCCAGTACCCTTACATGAGCCCTTGTAGTAGCCCTTGTCGCACCTCTACAGCACCAGGTCTGTAACCTTTCTATGAAACTGAAGACCACCAACACAGATGGCTTCAACCAGGTGTTCCGGAATTGGCTGGAGTTCATCAAGCCGATCGATCCGTTCCACTCCCCGCGGCACATGGCCGCCGCTTGCTCTGGATGGACCCAGAATTTGGTCAGGGCCTACAGAAGTTGTAAAAGTTTCGTTATTGAAGCCTTGTGTTCCTTTTCAGAGCACGAAAGTTACTTACATCAAGTCTTGTGAGCAAGTCTCTGGTCTGGGATGGACGTCCTGCCCAGGCCACAGCAGTTGTGACGATAATTTCTGTTGAAACCAAAATCAACGAGCCGAGTTCGCCAGGACCTGAAACTTGCATAGTGTATGAGCCGGAACATTGAGCCATAGTATCCCGGTATAGTCCCCATACAATTAGACTATAGCTCACACAACCGTTCAATTCGTTAAGGGCAGCATGTATAGCCGGATGGCCAAGGATATCATCAGCTGCAAGTGGACGTCCTTTGCCTATGCGCTGGATCCCAATGGTGGCTAGATGGCAGCAAGAATCGTCCGACTTCTGAACTCGGATGGACGATGCAGAGTAGTGTGAGCGCTTTCTGGGCAAGCTGGTATGTCTGTTGCCTTGGTCGGGGCTGGGTCCCGAGTTCGAGGATTAGGGTTTAGTCACGGTCCATAACCCACACCTAAAGACTTTCTCAGGTGCTCTGTCAAGCATGCCTGGGTAAGGTTCAGCGATTCGTCGGATTGGAGTTTGGGCCACTTAGGACAGTTAGGGTTTGGATGATTGAGCTCAACCCCGACAGAACCCAAGAACCCTGATCGTCCCGTGTCTCAGGGGGTGTGGACGAAAGTCGCTGGCCTCCAGGATGCGAGGTGCGCACCGGTGTTTGGGGCTAAACGACATTGTGCTGGGGTCAGTCAAGCAACACTGCCCCCGAGCTCTGAAAGCAAGCGGCTCCATGTCTTAGCCATCCAAAGATCTGGTTATACCGCATCATCTCCTGGCACTACCCAACAGCCGACGTTCTAGAGAGCGCCAGCAGCGCAGTCGCACAGGACATCAATCGAGAATTCTCTGACTGGCCCCGATTTCATGCAACGCAGCGGCTCTACTACGACCTGAAGGGACGCTGCTGGGAAGCAAGTCTGCGTCGAAGAGAGCAGTGCTGCTACAAACACCTGTGCCCCCAAGCCCTGCGTCTGCTACCAAGGCCCGGAGGTTCACGAGATCCTGGCCGACCTCTGGCTGAAGGGATAGCGTGAAGAAGACTTGAGAAAAGCAGTGCTTTAGAAGCTGAAGCACTTACCAGTTTGGGGTAGTATTCAGGTCTGCAATCGCTGCACTCAGGACAACCGATACCCGGATGATCTGTTCCCGCGGGATCCCAAATGCGACCTCTGGGACGAGCTGGCTTCGAGTCTCCACTGGGTGCACGAGGGAGCCTTCGCCGCAGGGAAGAAGAGCCAGGGGGAGATCCTTGAAAACATCTTTGTCTATCACAAGATAAGGACGTTTCTGGCAAAAGCCTGCAAACTTATGTTGAGTGCCGGCATGATTCGCCCGGCGTTCCCGAATTTTAGGTGAGAGCCTTGATGAGAGAGCACGATCGGTGGGGGAGGCATCTCAGGAAGGCTCAGACATCGTGACCCGTCCTCAACCCCACTGCCTACCAGGACCTTCTTTAAGCGAAACTTCAGGCGGCTTCTGCCTTGAAGTGGAACCATCACGCTTCCTTCTCGTTCTCTCACCCCAGTCCCTCCAAGCTCCAAGATCCCCACCACTAATCCCTGAAAGGCGATTGCCAAGAACAAGCCGAAGACCCTCGCCCGAAAGCCTTAAGTCGTCCAAGGCTGTGGACGATAGCCCTCTTGAGACATCAATAGCCCAGAACAGCAGTGCTTCCCTTACCCTACAACCTCGAACGAACTCTCCAAAGCCGGGGCAGCCCGAAGTTGGTCCTCGTGTAAGGACCCAGCAGTCGATCTTTCGCAAGTCTGGTCGTTTGACGAGCACCAGGCCTTGTGAGCGCGGAGACAGAGCGACACGCCGTAGGACCTTAGGACTCAGACGCGCAGTTCTTGAGCTAAACTTAGGGAACACTGTTTTGGTTTCTGAGCTTATACTCCCTCAAGCAAAAAGAGTTTATATTCCCTTAGACAAAAAGAGCTTATATTCCGGGGGTTGGAGCGGCCGGTCTTCCGGCAAATCTTGCGGCCGCTCAGCCCCCGATGGCTGGGCATTTGAACCCAGCTCCCAGTGACCCTTTGGAGGTCTTTGAACGTCTGCTCTGGGGGTCCGGGTTGAAGCTGACAGGAGTCAGGGGCTCCTGCGCATCTCCACATCTGATTACTGCAAACGTGCGCGGTTTGATAGTCGCCTGGTAGCACAGCATTGTCTATGCAGGCTTTGAACAAACCTAGTGATGTTTATGGATCTTCCCTACACCCTTAACCCTAAGGGTCTCCCCTTCCTAGGCCTTCTTTGAGTCGTAGACGAAAAAGGAGCTCAAAAAAATCACCCAAACCCCTTCTGGTTCTGTCGGGAGCTCCTCCCTTTCCTTTTGAACCTGCGACCTCTGGTGCAGGCACCGGGCTGTATCAGCTTCCCATGCTCGGAGACCTTGAAACTGCCACCCCCGGTACCAACTTACTGAACGGCTAACCCTAATCTTAATCCTCGAAACGATATGCTCAAGGGGCCAGCAGCCCTGAACTTTGCAAGCTTCAGCCGTAAGAGTGCTTCGCTTTAGCTGCTAAGCGGTATCCAAATTCGTGTAGAACAGCCCCATGCTAAGTCCCGGCATCAAACTCTCCAACTGCCACCGTACAGCTGCTCAGAATTATATGTGCGGTCGTAGCTCATACACACCCTCGACTGATCATGCCGTTTCGCAATGGTCTGCCTAGTAGGATCCTTCAATACAGCCTGCATTGGGAAGCGTCGAATTCTTTTGTGGCTGGAAAGTGGCGATGTTGAGCTCTTCTGGGCCGAGAAAACAGCGACAGATGTGCTCTTATTTGGGTGAGTTAGACTTAGGATAACGGTTGCGTTCATAACTTTACCTCTGCATGGTGTTGTTCGGTGTTTATTTCTTGGGGTCTAGAGCTTGCCCAGCGTACCCAAGACGGGACGCTGCTTGGGAATATTAGGGGCAGTGGCGGTTCAAGATGCAGCCAAAAACATGTGGGTTCATAACCTTGACATTGTGGCATTCAGCACCTATCGTAGACCAAATGTCTTGCACATTGAGTACACAGGCTTATAGGGTTTAGGGTTTCTTTGATTCCGGAACCTTAAATCCTAAACCCTAAACCCTAAACCAAGCGCGGCCCGGGAGTTGGAGATGGCGGTCCGCGGTCCAAAGTGGCGCGGTGGGACATAGGCACCACCTCGTCGAGCGCGAAAAGCTCTGGGCCGGATTGTATGGTGGTGGATCTATAATATGGGGCCCTCAATAATCAGAACAGGGCTTAGGGGCCCATTATACGATAACTATAGAAACGAACCCCCAAAGATAGTATAGATAATTATTTAGGACCCTATATTATTCGGGTTCCTGATTCCACAACTTTTTGAGATGGTTTGTAAGCATGTTCGGATCCCCGCTGAGATTCAGAGATAGAGATCCACTCAAGGGAGCCCTGATTTTCCCCCCAAGCCACGCACCGAAGACGAAGATATAATGCTTTGTTGAACTTGTCCCATGTGCAGAGTTTTCGTAACAAAGGAAGCCACATCGAAGGCAAGGGGTTGGATGTTCTTAAGCTGTCAAATTCAATGCTCTCAGAATTCTAGGAGTCTTTCATGCATGCCACAGTGTCCTTCGGTAGGGGTCTCGTCGAAATCTCTCCTGGAATCCAAGCGACGGAGAAAAATATTCACCAGCCGCCCGGAAAAGTCCGAAGCCCACGGACCCACGAATCCACAAAGCCTCAACCCCCCCGCACCGTGTGCGATGTCGGAGGCAGCACCAAAGGCCTGGGCGGAGGCGAGGTGGAGCATGGGAGAGCCACTTCTTCTACGGGGAACGAACTCCGCTCGAACTGCGCTGGTAGCGTTTCTTGACCAATCCTCACCCTGTTTCCGGAGGTGCCTACTCAACAGTGTGCCCGGAACCCAATAACCAACAAAGCCCACTGTGTGAACGTCGCAAGGCAACGGCTTTTGTCCAGAGGCACTCTGCGCTAAAGCTTCAGCAGGAGCGGTATTCGAATGAAGCTTGATGAGAAGCCGTGGTCCTTGTGGTCATCCTTGTCTTCGTTGCTGTCCTCCTCTTCGCGTCCTCATCCTGAGTAGCACGCTCCTCCTCCTGCTCCTCCTCCTCCTCCTCCTCCTCCTCCTCCGCCTCCTGCTCCTCCCCATCATCATCAGCAGCATCATCACTATGAGCATTCTCATCATCCACACCATCTTCATCACCGTCGTTGTCAAAGTCATCGGCATGATCCTCGTCGGAATCGTTAGCATCATAGCCGGAAAATGCTGATGTTGAAGACAGTGCCCGACTTCGTCGTGATCATCATCATTGTCGCCGGCGTGGTCGTAATGAGGCATCGCGCACACCATCACCATCACCATCACCATCACCACCGTCATCGTCCTTGTGGTTCTGTGTGGCCTACCGAAGCCTCAAGCTCCGCCTCTCAGCGTTGGAACCCACCGCTTAGAACTTGTAAGTCTGAATAGCGAGCCGGACGCACACAGACACAAGCATTGAACTCCCATATTCTAACCCTTGAACCTCAAACCCATCGTTGGCAGCCACAACACTGGACTAGTCAATGCGTTTTCGGATTCGTTTGCCAAGTCGCCGCTCCCAAGCTGTCTTTACATTCCTGTCTTGTTAACACAGGGGCCTTAATAATTGCCTTTACTACAGTATTTGGGGGTTCCTTCAGAAAGTTGTAGTACAGTGGGCCACAAAACCCTATTCTAGTTATTAAGGCCCTGTATATTATTCCCGATTGTTTTTCCTGGTCTTGTATGCATAGCTTCCCGGTGATGGTTTCGGCGGGGTTCGTCGTGAGGGAAGCTGTGCAACCTTTCTACCCTCCCAGCAGCACTGTCTCCAGATTGACATTCCCCTCTGCTCTTTGCAGCTTCCAGCAGGAACTCCAGGAAACTGCATCGAAGATCAGGCGCAGATGCATCGATCTTTGCAAGTGAACACTGAAGTTCGGGACTCCTCTTCTTCCATGGGAGGAAGCCGGCAAATGTCTTAGTCTTCGAAGAAGAAGAAGAAGCTACACGTGTCACTCAGGGGTGCACGCACAGAGTGAATAGATACATAAACAGCTGCTTCTATAGTTAAATATGCTCTCATGGATATACACATAGCACACATACACATTTATTTGTCTGTATACACATAATCCACATATATCAGATGTTCTCCACCAGCTGCAGCATTCTCAAACCGTCTCCTGCAGCCTCCAAACAATCCGACAGGCTGCAGCGAGGCGGCCAAGCAGCTTCTGAGGCTTGCGAGGGTACTACATGGGCCTTGCTAGTTGGAACGGGGCTGCGGGGTAGTATGACAGTATACCTAGAGGCGCAAGGGGGTTTCATCAGTTTTGGAGCCATCAGATTGAGTGCAGGATGCTATCTATCAAGATCTATCACGTCAAGCCGGGACTACTCTGTGTAGGGCCTTTGCATTTTCGGCAATTTTTCAGCTTGGCGGTGTAGGGATGAATGCCTGCCCACGAAAGACTTTCAAGCCTTGGGTCTGGACAATCTTGCTGTCTCTACAGTTCTGAGTTCTTTTGCAGTTCAATTTCACAACTAGTGTCGCTGTTGCCTTGTGTCAAATACCAGTACAAAGTAGGAACGGGAATGATGATTCTGCTGCTGCTGCTGCTGATGATCATGTTTGTGGCCGCGAAATGGTATGGGTGCTGATGATGAGTCTCGTGAGTGAAGATAATTGCACACAGTACCACCATCTTCGATCAACAAAGGAACAATTTCAAAGGCAACACCAAGGCGGCTGCGATCATGCAGCCGAGCATGGTGCTGATACTGAAGATGATGTGACCACAAGTGGTACGAGACGGATGCATTGATGATGGGTATGACGACCGGAGAAAGCATGGCGCAACTACATGAGGTCTGTCTGTTTGGTTACCGGGTCCGGGGGTCGTACATTTCATGAGAAAGATCGCAACCATGCTTGCGATGGTTGCTGCTAGCTTTAGCGCGATTGTGAGTATGATGGTTGTCACGTATGACAACGAAGCATTATCTTGAGCAGCTGAATTCCGTTGGTCCTTACCAGACAGACATCCCCGAGTGTCTAAAGCCCTCCTAAGCAGCCCTATTCTATAACTCCATTGCAAAGCCCATTAACAGCCCGCAGTCACTATCCGTCCCGACGGGTTGGAGGCTCTCCGAGTGGCCTCGGCGTCCCTACAGCGCCCGGGGCTCGGTAAAGAGAAGATGTCAGAAGAGTTTACTGGGCATCTTCAGAGGAGTGAATTGGCCTGAAGGCTCGGTATTATAGAGGCCAAAATTTTACCTATAAAGTTTTGGGTGTTATTTTATTATAGTTATAGCATAAAGGGTCCCGAAACCCTATTCTAATTATTAAGCCCCCTATATTAGACTGTTCATACCTGGGCTGCTGACGCTCGAGAGCTAAAGTTGCTTGCAACCCCAACGCGAACCCCGGGGGTCTATGGCTCGGGCAGAGCAGCAGTCTAGAACATGATGGTCTCCTGCTTGATCCCGACCGAAGTAGGAAGGCAAGCGACAGGAAGAACAAAACTGGTGCACAACACATGGCAAGAGCCAGAGCAGGATAAGCCTGTGGTATCTGCTATGCCATGGAGACATCACGGAAGCGGAAGCGGGAAGATGACCTCGAGGCATCCGGAGGGTCTGCCCTATGTGTGCTGGGGGGAGGAAAGCTTGACCGCGACGACCCAGCGGTGTCGTGGTCGTCGTCATCCTCGTCCTGATTGTACTGGTCTTATGTTGCGTGGTGGTGGTAGTTGGCGGTGGCGATGGCTGCAGCGGCGCGCGCGGCGGCGGTCGTCGTCGTCGTGGTCGTAGGTGCAGGTGTAGGCATAGGCGTAGTCGCAGCCGCAGTCGTAGTAGTCTCCGCCACCGTCGTCGTAGCTGCAGTTTGCAGTCACAGGGAATGTTTGCAACTTGCGCGGTGTTAGGGGATCTCACTGTTGAGCGAGTTGTCTTCATGCATGCCACCTCACAGAAGCCAGAGCATTCCGCTTTGTTCCTCTTGCGCAGCGTGCTGAGCCTGCCAGGTTCCAGATCAAGAAGATCGAAGTCAAGCAGGGACAGAAGCTGCGGAACCTCAGCTCGAGTTTAGTGAAGTGGGTCGAGCGCTTTCTTTGTCGCCGGCATGTGCACTTGCTTGGCAGTGGGTGTGGTAATAGGGTCGTAGAAGTTGTCCCCCGAGGATCAAGAGGATCGCGATGAGGACCTAGAGCAGCTGGCGTCTGCAGATGTCGTCCCACGGTCGGACGCTGCTCACCTCCGCAAGCTGGATACTCTTGGCATCAAGGCTGCTCACAGCCTGCCAGATGACCACTCCGTGGGCCCCATCGGTTCGGATACTGATTGCAGGTCTGAGACACTGCCCTCAGGAAGCTTTTGGTTTCAAAAGAGCCTGGCGGGTTCTGGTGTCCAGGCTATGTTGCAAGAGATTACACTGAACAGTCCCGCATTGGTTCAATTGATGCGCAGCTTGATTCGCGCATGCAACTGCCATGTTCAAGTATCTGACGATCTCTGCGTCGCAGACGTTTTTGCCACCAGCGCCACAGTCGCTGCGCAAGCAGAACGCATCCTCGACAAACCAGCAGCAGAGTTGCAAAAAATCATCGAGATACATGAGTCCGATCCGGGGTTGGAAGACTGCGACGAGGAGCACGAGGATCCTTTCGCTATCCAGATAAACTGGACTGCTCATCCTTCAGATCTCAGTTTTTCACACCATACAGCCATCCCTTCGTTCAGCAGCCTGCCACTTCCGTCGGCACAATCCTTTGAACCATCCCTGAACTTGTGGACTTTCCAGCATTCGCTTGACCCTGTTCAGTCTCGGGCTATTGCTTGCGTTGAGCATCGCGAGTCTGTGCTGCTCTGCGCGCCGACATCTGCAGGTAAGACGGCAGTTGCAATATATGCAGTGGCCATGGCCCTGCATCACAAGAGGCGTGCCATTTACACAACGCCGATCAAAGCGTTGTCGAATCAGAAGTTTTTGGAACTTGGCAAATGTTTTGGTGCACAGTATGTCGGGATTATGACGGGTGATGCAGTCATCGCGAGCGATGCTCCCATCGTAGTGATGACTCTAGAAATACTCCACAGCATGCTTTACAAGCAAGCAAGAGATCCAAATCTTCTGGGCGACTTCGAATTTGTCGTCATTGACGAAGCCCATTTTCTGGGTCATGCAGAAAGAGGTTATGCTTGGGAAGAGGTACTTGTCCTCCTACCACTTCATGTCAGGCTGGTGCTGCTGTCGGCGACAGTGCCAAATAGCAGGCAGATCGCCGAGTGGTGCTCGCGGATTCGAGTGGAGCCGATGCATGTTCTCACAAGCGAACAGCGGCCGGCCACTTCGTCTGCATGGCTTTTGGATTGTTTCCCAAGATTTCGCCGTTAAACCTCGAACAGATTTCCTTGCCGACGAGCGCCTTGCCAGTGAGGTTCCTCTTTCACATATCATCTTCCGATGCGGCCCGGCAGATTTCTTCGGAAAGAAGCGCTCATGAGGCCGCCACAGAATTTTTTTAGGCCTTGGAGCGTGGAAGAGGCTGTGCGGCAGAGGGCCGTCATCCTCAAAAGCCAACCTGTGTGGCGTTGCCCCTCAGCGCTCTTGCCACGCTTCATCGGGCACCGGGGCCAAAATCTTAAGAGCCTCACAGCCAGCTTGTCGGCATCTGTGCGAGTGCTGGATGATGGGGTAATTCAAGTCACAGCTTTCGACATCGATGTTGAACTTGAAGCAAAGCGGAGAATTACCACCTGGCTGAAGAATAACGGCGTGCCTGAGCAGCTTGCGAAGGCGCCTGATTCCTCGGGCGACCCCTTGTCTCTGCAAGTTGAGGATCTGGAACGGCTGCTGTCCCTGCTGTGGTGCCGGAAGCAGCTTCCCACTATCGGGTTTTGCTTTGACAAGCGCATGTGCGAGCGAGTCGCGCTGCTTCTGGCAGGCGCGAAGCGCATGGATTTTACTAGCGGCGCTGACAAGGTCAAGATTCTTGATCGGCTACGGGGTTCCAATTCATTAGCTGAATTTGAGCTACCATGCAATGTAATAGTGATTAGTGTATGATATGTTTTGCTTCTTATGTTAACATAGAATTGACATTCCTCAGCAAGAACCCAGGCTGCAGGGTGGCCTTGCGAGTCTGGAGGAAGCCGACAAGCAACTTGCACAAGTACGGAATTCCTGCGACTTGCTGAGTCGCGGCATCGGCGTGCATCATGGGGGCATGTCCGTATCTCAGTGGTGGCAGTCGACCAGACAGACATGACATACCCCTAGTCTTAAACCTCCCGGCTGAGCGCGCCGCCACGAAGCTTGAATTCTAAAGGTCACAATCTCAGCTTTCCACCTTGAGCTGCGCGTGATAGGCTAGACGCATCTGGACGCCAAGCCGTACTAGCCGGAAATCCTGAACCCTAAGCCATACACACCCAACTCTGAGCCGACAACCTTTGCAGACTCCATCTGAAGGCCTCAGGCAAAACCGAAAACGAAGCAGACACCCCCACCGAGGCTTCCACTGTTGAGGGAGATGGTGGAGCTTCTTTTTGCTGCTGGCCTTCTTTCGGTGATTTTTGCGACTGAAACATTTGCCATGGGCTTGAATATGCCTGCAAAGTCGGTGATCTTCACAGACGTTGTGAAATTTGATGGGCGGGCACGCCGCATCCTGGACTCGGGCGAGTTTCGCCAGATGGCTGGTAGAGCTGGCCGACGAGGGCTGGATCGAGAAGGCTACGTTTACGTCATGCTGCACAGCGACAGGATCTTACAACGTCCTGCTGCTGAGATGATAGCAAGCCTGTACACGGAGAGGCCTCCAGAAGTATTGAGTTGCTATCGACTTCGGTGGTCGTCATTGCTTCACTTGGTTTCCGCCAGCCCGGCACATCTTGACGCCATGCTATCCAGGAGCCTGCAAAGGTATACTTCACCAGATGCAGCAAAGTCTATTCAGCAAGAGGTGTTTTGCATGGTGCAGGTTCTCGAGGAGCTTGGTTTTGTTGATCAGTCTTGGGCTACGTTGCCCAAAGGGATTCTAGCCTGTCACCTGTTTGTGCCGGAGGACCCTTTGCTAGTAGCAAACGTCCTCATTGCTCTTCGTGGCTTTGCAGACTACTCTGCTGCACAGGCGTTTGCCGTCTGTTCGGCATTCGTGGCTGAAGGGTCTTATGGCGAGCCATCGGTGATTTCTGATTCCAAAATCAAGGTTGGTCTGGAAATTTGTCGGCAAGCGGCGCAGAAGCTGGCTGCAAAGCTGCACTCTCACAACCTTCCGTGTTGCAGCAAGTGTGGTTTGTTGAAGCAGCGCGGGTGTAGTGGTATGGACATGATCAAAGCTCGTGTGAATCCGAAGCTGTGTGAGACGGCATTCCAGTGGGCACTGGGGCACAATTTTGCTACGGCGGTGCTCACCAGTGGTGTTGCACTGGGAGGCGAAGGAATTGTGACGAGAGCCCTCCGACGGCTAGACGAGCTCATGCGCGAGATCACCTTTGTGCTGCGGCATGACCTAGCCTCGCCTGAGGCAGCACACAGAATTCAATCGGTTCGGCTCTCCGCGAGACGAGGCGTCCTTGCGGCACCATCGGCTTACTTGGGCGAAGCAGAGGACCGAGTTGGTGAAGAAATCGAAGCGGAGCCACCGTGGCCGAAAGAAGCCTTGGCTCCAGGATACCGGGGCAACTTGGATCCCTTAGAGATCGGTTTCAGTCAGTCGCACTGCAAAGCTACGTTCCAGAGACCTCCCGTTCTTGGGGGGCCTGAGGACATCGAGGGCTTGGCAAGGGCTCTGAGCGACGGAACCATAGATCCCATGCAAGTCAACCCGATAAGACTTTACTGGTGCCGGCATCGCTACTACTCCTTGGACAAGAGGCGACTGGCAGCTTTCAGGCTTTGGCGGCTCCTTGTCGAAGATGCAAAAGCACCCGTTGTCGTCCTTGACACCAGCCAGGCCTTGAGCGGAGGATGGCTCAGCAAGTTTACCACGGGCTTTACTGGAGGCCGAAAGATTCGAATAACTCAAACGGATCTTTTCGTCGGTCTCACCCGCGAGCAGTCAACCTTCGGATCCCATCTCTGGTCTACCGAGCTGGTGGAGAAAAAGCTCTTTGTACGGAAGCTTTAGACAATGAAGGCACCTGAAAAGACAATTTGTAGCCCCACTGTTGTTCAGTCCCTATGGACTGCTTAGTCACAAACAGGCACCCCGAAGTAAACCCTGTACAGGAAAGCTGGAGCCTTGATGGATCCCTGAAGCAATCTATGCCCTTGGCGCATGAAATCCCATCATCCACATTCAGAATCTTCAAACTTATCTAACCATTGATATTGGAGGAGCTAAGGAGCCAGGGATGGTGATAATCCCTACTTAGCAAGGAGCTAAAGAGCCAAAAAAACCCCAACACCACTGGTTAGTTATGCCCGACAAAAATGATCCCAAAACCCGAACCGACTCCTCCACCGAGTTCCTAAATCCTCAGCCCCAAGCTGCGTGCCTTGTCACAGGAATCCTCAGCAGCGTTGAAGAAGAGACCAACTCGAAGCTTGGCTTCATCCTGCGGCTCCTTCCGGTGCACGGTATGGGGCGAGAGGAATTATGGTACTTGTAGCATAAAGGGCCTTAATAGCTGCATGGAACAATGTTCCTTCGAGTTCCGGAGTGAAATGACATGAATGGTTGTATTCTGTATTCACTGCATTCGCCATAAGTATCCATGGTAATGTTTCAAACGCTGGCAATCATCATAGTCACAAAAGTCCATCGCAGCGCGTTTTTTTGATGTTGAGGTTTGAGGCTGGTAGGAGCTTGTAGAGGTTACCAGGTTGTGCTGAGGCGGAGCAGCAATGTGCCTTTAATCTACGTATGCGTTGGCAGTCGCACCCCCTCGAAACCCCTCGCGACCTAGGTACTTCGACATTGGCGCCGTGGCGCTCTCCCTGTGCTGCCGGGGACCTCAAGGTTATGAGAATATGCAAAGCATTCAAAACTTCAAAGCATCGAGCTAATCCAGGTTAGTTACGTGTGTTAACAATAGGGTTCAGACATGTCCCAAACGTGTTTGTTGCCAGACCAGCAGTTGAAAACCCCCAGCGCACGCTAAATCCTGTCCCCCAGATCCCTCGAAAGCCGAAAAGCCCGTCTGAAACCAAATCCAATCCCACAAATAACCCACGTAAAACCTCAAACGCAAATGCTCGCCATCACTAGATCCCAAACCCGACGCTGCTGTAAGCCAGGTGCGGGTGAGGCCCAGGTGTCTAGGTACCGGTTACTGGCTTCGTAGTGCGGCTTTGGTCTAGATGCTTGTTTGGCGTAGCCGAAAAACCAGCGAATGGCACGTACCGGGCTTCTCTTTGTCGAGGCGAAGGGGTGCGAAGGGGATGCTTGGAGTTTGGAAATCTGATGGGGTGGATAACTTGGATCGTCGCGGTTCTTCCCCTGGACTACCTCGGCCTGCATGGCAGTGGCAGGTGCAAAAGCGGCGATGAAGCAATATCCATGATGCTAAATGTGTGTGGTGGCACTTCTACCCACTGTTCGTAACAACATCCTCAACATCCCTAAACCCCACAGCCTGAACCTACACAAGCCTATCCTCCAATCCTTGAGCCCACAGAGCAATTGTGTAGACAAGTATGGACACCAAACACAGCACCCGCAACAAGGTACCCCTCACGAAACCTGGCTTGTGGGCCAACTGGCCTACAGCCCGCTTCCGAGGCGCCGCTAGAGCGGAGGGCGCCTCTGAGGGCATTGCAGGACGCTGGCGCGAGCTGAGGGTGCGGCCGGAGAGTGTTTAAAATAGGGGCCTAAACAAGTAGCAATACTATTTTGGCTGCTCCGTATTATAATTATAGTAATATGGGCCCCAAACCCTATTCTAATTATTGAGACCCAAGCATTACTTAGTCTTTGGTTCGGGTTTTGAGGCCTAGGGTGTTGGGGGAATAGGGATTAGGCTTAGGGTTTTGGCTTGGAGGGCTTTGGGTCTGCACAGCGAGAATTCTTTGGGCTCGAGGTGTCCTGGTAGGTCGGGACATTAAGTTTCAGGCTCAGGGTGTAGGATACACATGTTTGCGCATTCTCACATACACATTAATCTAGACTCAGACTACGGAGCGGCCTGCCTTGTTCTTTGTCAAACTGGGTGTGACGATCAGTTGAGTTCTGGTCACTATAAACACCACAACGAGCCATGTAAGCAACACGCCAAAAATCCCTGAACTTGCGACCCTCCCGGTGAAGAGGTGGCCAGCCATTGGCAACACCACCTTGCGAGGCAGAGTTGGCTTCAAGAGTTCGGTGATGCGCTCTACAACATTCGGGTGCAGTTCCTTCCCACCCATGGGTGTCATTCCTTTCGTCATGATGACGACGGCAAAGTTTCATGTAGTTCGCATGGTTGGTGCCTCGGTCCAGTTCAGCAGCACTATGATTAATACCATTGTCGTCGTCCAATTCATCAGTCTGACGGAGTCTTGATTCTTTGCTTGTTAGTACAAGCATTCTTGTCGTCACATGTGAGAAGTCGTGCAACCGACGGACATCGAAGTCTTGATGTTCCTCTGTGCCCTCAAGGTTTTGTTTGAATTTGGGGTTTCAGCAGCAGGGTTTGGGTTTCAAGAGTTTGAAAGTTTGCAGAAGCCGTGAGGAATGTGCGAGACTTTTAAGCGACCTTAAGTCCGTCAGCCGAGTAATCACCAGTGCTGGTGTGCGTTTCCACTGATGCCAAGCCTACCTTCTGCGTGAGGCTTTGCGACACCACTTGGTGTTACTGGATCCGTGGGCCCGGCATGAACTTAAAAATCGCCCCGCACGTGCCTGCGGTTTTGGGTTTGAGGATAGAGCTGTGGAAGTTTGAGTCTGCGCATGCTCTTGAGCTGCCGGAACCTCAGAGTTCTCAGGATGTTCAGGGATCGTGATGAGGGCATGGAGGATAGTGTTGAGGGGGTTGAGGCTACAGTGCGCTGGACGGAAGCTTCTGCAAGCGCCAGCATTCCAGGTGAGCTCCTGCCGGTGCTCCTGGAAGAACTGCGAGGAACTTCGTTGGTGACCCTGGTTAGTATGAATCCCTTGTACAGCCCAAAGTCTGAAACGCCCAAAGCTTTATTCCGTAACCTCTACACCCTGGTCTTCGAAAATGCGCGTCAAGCAAGACCGACCGGGCTTAGGATCTGAGCCCATGTCTGGCACATTTGATAGTGGACAGGACTCTTGAATAGTACAACTCTCATAGCCAGACACCAAGCACTCCAACACCCCGACAACCAGTCTTTACTCCAAAATCCGAAATCCGAAGCTCTGAACCCCATGTTCTCCGAAACGGGAGGTATCTGCGCTTCCGTGGCTCTTCGCGGCCTTTGCGGCCCCCTTGGAGGCTCTCGTACCCGAAGGCGGACTCGCCTGGTATGGGGTGCTCCTTAAATTACGTGTCGTCTTGCCTGCTACTGAGAGCCCTTAGTGGTCCTTATAACGGGGGTCCTACCGTGGCGGGCCCTGTGTCATGGTCTTGTTTGTTTTCTGTGCTTGATGCTGTCAGGTCCCGTCTAGCCTTTACCTCCAGTTCCTTTGCTATCTAGAGAGTGTCGTACTATCTTCTTTACATCTCGTTCACCGCAGCTTGAATCAAGGGGCGTGGGGTTAAGGAGTTAGGCTTTCGGAATTCGGCTACTTCGGCCTGTGATCCAGGTTCAAGGCGAGACACTGGATAGGAGGATGCTTCTTCCGAGGAGCTTCCTTGAGCTCCAAACCCCTGCAGCAACTCCGAAGCCTCCGGAATTCTATGTCATGCTGACAAAACCTAAAGACAACACAAAACTTGAATTTTTAATTCCTACGCTATGACAGAAGGCAGACCTCCTAAGTCCTAACTCCTTTTGGAGCAGATTCTCTTCGTGTAGTCATCCCGGTGAGGCCGGGCCAGGGACGCACTTCTTGTGGAGCTGCGAAAGGCATTGGAGGTGGATGACCCTTTGGTTTACTGTCGAGGTTTGAATCTAAAGTAAAGATAGTTTCGCAGTATAGAGACAGGAAGTAAGAACAATGATGCCATAAATGAAGCCGCTGCGTTATGGGGTTTGGGAGAATCCCAAGTCACAAGTCCCAAACTGAAAAGCCCCTTGCACCAGCCAGACACCCTCAGACTCAAGCCAATCCGATTCCAAAAGGCTTCAATCGGATCTCGTCAACGCCTAGTGCTGGAGATTATGGGGTTGAGGTCAAAAGACTTAGGGTTCAGGATCACAATAGTAATCGAAACAGTAATAACAATAGCAATAAGAATAAGAAGCATAGGGATAAGAATAAGAATAAGAGTAATAATAAGAAGAACAAAAAGAAGAACAATAAGAATAATTAGAACAAGCAGAAAAAGAACAATTGTCAGAATAAGAGAAACAACAAGGTCACTAATAACAATACTAGTACTGATACAATCATAATAACAATCATGGCAAGAATAATCAGAATGATGAGAAGAATGAGAATAATAATAATCAGGCTAAGAAGAATAATAATCATCACAATAGCAACAGCAATAGTACTAACAACGACGATCATAATGGGTTTAAGGACTTAGCATCCGCCAGTCCTGGGTCCTGCGAAGAAGTATTCCAAGGGTAAAAACGAGGGACCCTCAATAAGGACCCCTAGGTATATACCCTTAATCTAGCTATTCTATACCCATTATATTACAGGGTCCCCATTAAGGGTCCCTCCTTTTCCCCTTTGAGAGAAAGTATACAAGGTGGGCATTATGCAGCCTCTCTGTGCGAAGATCGAGGAGGCCTTCCTGGGTGTTCGGCTTGGGGATGAGGGAGTTTCCGAAAATTTGGGGTACCTTATTTGGGGGTCCTTCTAATAAGAATCCTAATATTTAGGGTACTATGTTAGGGTCCCCTATTTCCGGACACTCCCATATCTTGTTGGCTTTGGGATGGAGCATTCGCGACGAGGCTCCAAACATGGTGCCAGACCGTGTGCACATTGGCTTTCTTCCCTGTTACTTGCGCAAGTGTGCGACTTTTCTCAGCCTCATAGAGTGAAGCTCTGTCCCAACGCTTCATATCCAGGAAGCTCAAATACTTTGATTGGTTCGACAATAAGTGGCAGGATCTGCGGCTGCTGGCGCATGCGACGATGCAGGCACTGAATTCGCTCTCTTAGATGTTCCCCCTTTTACCGACATCCCCAGGAGGCAGACTCACACTGTCGAGCCATCCAACGCCCTAAAGCCTACGAGAAGACGTTAACCCCCTAAATCCGTGGTCGCTTCATGCAAGGTTGATGTATTTCCTCATCGCCCCCACGCCATTGCCTCAAAGGGCCTCCACGCAGGCCAACAAAGAAGCGCTGCCGCTTGCCCCACCGGAGGAGGATGCCGGGCTGAGGGAAGCAACAATGTGCATGCATGATAGTTTTTCAGGTTAGATCATGACTTTCTTCATGCGTACTCCAAGTTTCTGAAGTTTTGGCGGTGGCTTGGAGGCGGCAGGCACGGAGGAGCGAGTTCCCTGTATCTCCAAACCATCCACTGATCGCGGCGAATTTGCTACGGCTGAGGTTAGTCACGAATTTCGGGTTTCGAGTCGAGGCTTGGCTGCGAAAGAGGCCTCTGTCTTGTCAGAATCACAACTCTCGAGGACCCATCTTTGGGGAAAGATTATACTTCAGGGCTGCTCTTTGAAATTGTAGTACAATATACCCCCAGTCTAACTATGCAGGCTCCTGTCTGAGTAAGCTTCCAAACCCTCGTAGCCCACCGAGGCTGCAGCAGGCTGCAGCCGCGGCATCTATGAGCCTGCAACGAGGTTGTAAAACCTCTAGACCCTCAACTAAACTCTAAACCCTAAACCGTCGGAACCCCCAAAGCCTCGTAAGCTGAGGGCTGGGGGGGTTTTGCCATGGAGGCTCTCGTGCTGCTACGCTTGCGGCCGCTGCGGCTGACGGCCACCGACGTCGTCGACCTCAAGGATCAGGCGCTTTTAGGGTTTAGGCGTGTAGGGGTTAGGGTTCAGGGGTTTAGGGTTTAGGGTTTAGTGGTTTAGGGTTTAGGGTTCAGGGTCTTAGGGTGGGATCTATAGTAGACTCGAGCGATCAGGGAATCGGGTTTGGGCTGTGACCGTGAGGAGGGAGTGTACAGGGCTTAAGTCGCGGGGTTTGGAACCTAGCACTAGCACGTTGATGTCTGCTTTGTGAACCGCGAGTCTGGCCACGGATCTTGGAAGTTAATCTTGCAGGACATGTGTTCCAGGGATCCTAGGTCCTGGGCGTGGCTTAGAGCGTTGTCGGGATCCTGTGCTGAAGAGTGGCCTAAATTGCCATACTGAGCTTTTCGGGTCCTGGCAGTTGACAATCAAGCGCCTGGCAACTTTCTTTTTTGACCCGAGATGTTTTTAGCCATTGTCAGTCCGAGGTCCCCTTGCGCCCCACGGACGCATGTTGCGATTTGCTCGTGCGGTGATTTGCACCTTCCTCTTTCGACAACATAACTAGTAGGGCCTCGTGGCTTGCAGTGCGCCCGAACAACCTTACACCCCGAACGCCATGCCCAAAATGTAAGATCCAGGTGCCCGAAGCTCTAACCGCCTAAACCCACACCCAAAAGCCTTAATATTGTTTTATGCAAAAATGCCCGAAGCCCTAACCATGAAGAGGTCGAGCTGCGGCTGAGCCGCCACTTCTACGACCTGGCTGCACTCGCACCTCAAGATGCCGAGGCTTGCTTAGCCTCGGTTTGGGTCTTAGGAATTCTAACTTCTGGGTGTATCTAACGAACAAGGGCGTTGAAAGGCTGAAGTTGTTGATTTAAATACCGAGTTGCAAGATTTGTGAGGGTTTTAGAGCGCCTGAAAGAATGTATCGGTTGCTCTTTTGAACAGATAAGTTTGCTTTTGAAACGGGTTTCGTGGGTCCTTCCCAAAAAACCCAACTAGAAGTAATATCCTATAGGTTTATAGTGGGAACGATGCATTCCTTGTTACGATACCCTGAACTAATAAGGTCTTCCGAAAGGAGCCCAACTCTATGTCTGTAAAATAGGTACTATGCTGTACACATGTAGATCATCGACAGATAAAGAGACCCGGAGACATCGGGATCGCAATCACACCCAAATCCAATGACGCTTCAGGGTTCAGTGGTTTAGGGTGCAGAATTTAGGGTTTGTTGGGTTTAAACCTTTAACCCGAAAGCACCAAATCTCAAACCATAAACTCTACACTCAGCCCTTTCTCTCCGCCGGCTTTCCCAGTGGGCAGGCCTATGCCCGGATGCGCTCTGTGGCGCTGCAGCGCAAGGGGGCCAAGTGGGCTCTGGTTGAATTTTAAAGGGCCTGGGTGTCCAGGGTCTAGCGGTTTAGGGTTTAGGGGTTATTGCTCTCGGATTTTGGGTTGCTGTTTGATCGTCGGGTTTGGGGTTCAGGCTGAGGGCTTCCAGGCCAAGGAGACCAGTTGGATCCCGGGTTTCTACAAGTGCCGGGATTCGGCTTGGCATTGCCATGCTCTAAAAGCCAGAGCCTGCGTAATGTGAACATCTCAAGATCGAAAGCATGCAGCCTTGATTCCCCTTGATATCAGGGTTTATCATTATTGCTGTTCTTGCTATGTTGACACGAAGATCATGAACTCACCTTGTCATGCGAGCTGGCAACCACATCCTTTTGCAGCAGGGTATGGTCTGGACCTCCTCGACGGCGGCTTGCCTGCCGGCTCTCTTGCGCAGGGGTCGTCGCCCTAGGTGCCGGGTTCAGGGGTTCGCATGGTTCTTGGATTAGGGCGGGGGGGTAGAGTCGGTTGATTAGAGCTTCTAGACTTTCCAGTCATTGGATAGTTCCAGATGTCTTGGCTGCGGGACATGCCCCTTAGCCTCTTGGCGACCTGGTCTACTGGCTTCAGGCTTAAGGTCTCAAGGGTTTCTGGCGCAAGAGCTCGCGTTGCTGCACGAGTTCGGAGCTTCTGCCACAAGCGCAGAGCAAGAAAGCAACCACGCCCGAACTGAGGCTGGATGTCATTGATGTGATGCGGAACGTTCACCTCCTGGCCACACAGTGCGATCCAGGGAATGGGTTCAGAGCTGATGGTCATCAACTGTTGGTTTCAGGCAACCTTGGAACCTTGCGCACAGGTACTGCTACAGCCTTCACCAACAGTTCTTTACGCAGGCCTGGGCACTAGCATCGCTCCGGGCTGGGGTCCCGTGTTGCTGCCTGATGCCGTGTGTTTGTCACATGCTTGCAGCGTAGGGCCCTTCAGCTGAGAAGCTTTGTCTTCAATTTGCCTTTGTGAGGCCTCACGCGCAAATCCAAATTGAGATGACAGAAGCCCTAGACCCCAAAATTCAAAAGTAGGTGCTGAGACAAAGAGTCATGCTCTTGAGAGCGTCGGCTGCATAGCTTTCAGGGGGAGCAAGAGGCAGCAAAACAATAAGAACTCAACAGCGTTTGCCCATGCGTGGCCCGGAGGCCTCCAACCAGGGCGAGGCTAAGATTCGAACGATCACGGTGGAGTCGCGCGGCTGAGTTGCTTGTAGGAGATGATTTTGCAAGGAGGCTTGTTGTGATCCTTGTTGTGATGCTAGCTACTTTGCTTGTGTTGGCATGATGACAATGCACGAGATGATGATGTTCTTGGTCTTGTTCATGGTTATGAGAAATGATGACGGTGGTGATGACGATGGTGTTTATGATGATTATGAGGATGAAGATGATAGCGGTAATCATGATAATGACGATGATGCCCACGTGCTGGTGCGTCTGATGATGATGGCTGTGTCTGTCCGTGATGACGATGCCGGAATGGCGACTATTGAGAGGATGGCGGCCGGAGGGAGTCCGCCAAAAAGTCTGCTGAACGGCCGTGTCCTGACTGTTTCGCTTCTGTCGAAATACCTTTTCCAGTCTCTTGCGAACATTGCCGTAATTCATCTGGTGGTGTAAGTGCCTTTCAGGAATATCCTGGTGAGCCGTCCGGTTTCGTATTCAGGTGGAGCCTTGCAGATGCAGGTCCAAATCAATGGTGGGGCAGCGGCCGCGAACCCTCAAAAACCTTTAGCTAAGCTTCTTAACATCAACCCTGAAGCCCCAACCCATCAAATAGAAGCCAAGCCGTCTTTCCTCTTTGTTTGCTCTCGCGCTCTGAGGCACTTGGCCGCCTCCATCCGCGTCCATGGCTACGGAGTCATCAACACCGCCCGAGCTCCCAAGCCTGTGGAGCAGAGGGAAGAAGAGCTCATGGCGACAGCCATCTTGGCAGCCAGAGACCGGTCTATAGATATACATACATTGATATGCACGCACGCCCATGCATGCGTTTTTGGGTTGCTGTTTCGATTCCTTGGTTTCGTGCAGCGACGCCCTTCGACATCCTTCCTCTTCGCAGCCTGCCTTGCATCAAAAAGTCATTGACCGCAACAAGAGGTCCCACGACCCGTATCCCCAAACCATCAACCCCAGCAAGAGTGGCAACTTAAAGGGCTCGAAACCCTAAGCTATCCTAAGCTCAACCCTAACCCCAAACCACAAGCCCCTAACCCTAAGCAGTTTATCGCCGTCACAGAAAGGCCGTGAACTACAGCGTTGGCTTCATCAAGCGCAAGCTCGAGGCCGGCAGTTCAAGCTTCTTTTTCTTTGGGCCAGGGCTTTTTTGGGTTGAGCTGTTGAAGTCGTGGGGTTCAGAGTCAGGGGATTGGGATGTAGCGCTCAGGCTTGCAGCTCCGGGATTGAGCTAGTAGCACCGGTAATCGTTAGTAGGGCAGCGGTTATCACGGTGGTGTAGTCGCAGTTTCCTAGAGAAACTGACTTAACGCGACCCTCAAAGAAGATGGTGGAGCTGGGGCTCCAAGAAAGTCGAAACCCCAAACTTCCCAAACCTTGCCGTTTCGCTATAGTTTCGGAGCCTTGGTCTTTAGGATTTTTTCCAAGCTGTGTTGCTCAAGGTCACTAACCGTCGGGATCCTGGACGGCGCATTCGATCCTTCTTATATAAGTCGCCGTAGCTCCTGTCGGTTACAGGGCGGTATTCCTTCGAAGATCAATCATGCATTGCCTTACTGTCGAAACAGTTGTCACTTTATGCTACTGCTATTCTTGCTAGAGCCACAGAGGATTCGGGAGGCAAGTCGGTGGAAGTCCAGGGTCTCTGCAGCATGGAGAGCCTCCCTGTTGTGGTGCAAGACGTGCTCTCTGGCAAGGGCGATCTGCACCAGCGCAACTTCAACAATGCCATCAGCTGCTGTTGGGATCGAAAAGAAATGTTGTGGAGTTTGGTTGGACAGCACTTGTTTTCTGAAGGGTCACAACACTGCATCCCCATCATGGTCTGCAGGTTGTCCGTGCAGTACTGAAGTTATACATCGTTTCCGTCAGACCCTTGCGTTTTGGTCGCTCATGTGCGCACTCGTCTGAATGATGCTTGTAGGATCCATTTGTCCGGCACTTAGGCTGTGGGAAGGCCCGGCAGTGGCAACTGGGTCTCCACCTGTTGTCCTCCATGCCCTGCGCGAAACTGTCCCCTGATGCCGTGAGCTTCAGTGCGGCAATTTCTGGCTGCGGGAAGTCGGGTGAGTGGCAAAGGGCCACCTGTTTGCTGAGGCAGATGGTAGAGGTTCAGGTCCCCCCCAGCGTCATCAGTTTCAATGCTGGCATCAGCGCCTGCGAGAAGGGGGGCCAGTGGCAAAGAGCCTTGCAGCTCCTGTTCCAGATGCCCTCAGCTGAACTTCTTCCCGATGTCATCAGTTTCAGTGCAGGGATCAGTGCTTGCGAGAAATCGGGGCACTGGCAGCAGGCCCTGCAGCTGCTATCACAGATGGAGACGCAGGGGGTGAGGGCGGACGTGATCTGCTGTAACGCGGGCATCAGTGCTTGTGAGAAGGGTGGTCAGTGGCAGATGGCGCTCCACATCTTCTCGGAGATGCCAAAAGCCAGGCTGGCTGTTGATCCGGTCAGCTACAACGCCACCATCACGGCGCTTGAGAAGAACGAGGAGTGGCAGCAGGCGCTGCAACTCTTTGAGGGCATGCCGGCAGCCAGGGTTGCTCCGAGCACCGTCAGCTTCAATGCTGCCATCAGTGCCTGTGAGGTAGTCGGTCAGTGGCAAATAGCCGTGAGCCTTCTATCCGAGATGAAGGCCGTCAGTGTAAGATCCAATGTGATCAGTTTCAGTGCCTGCATGAGCACCTGCGAAAAAGCTGGTCAGTGGCAGATGGCATTGCACCTCCTCTCAGAGATGCCTGCAGTCGAGCTGAGACCGAACGTTGTGAGCTTCAACGCCGCCATCAGCGCCTGCGAAAAGCGCGGGCTGTGGCAAGCGTCACTCCATCTGCTGTCTGGCCTAGCGGCCCGAAAGACGGCCATGACGGCCATCACGTTCAACGCAACCATCAGCGCTTGCGAGAAGGGAGGGCTGTGGCGAGAGGCCTTGCAGCTTTTCTCGGACATGCCAGCAGCAACAGTTGTCCCAAACGTGGTCAGCTACAGTGCCACTATCAGTGCATGTGAGAAAGCCGGGCAATGGCAAATGGCTCTGCAGCTCTTGTCAGACATGCCGGAGGCCGGTGTCGTGCCTAATGTGGTCAGCTACAATGCCGGCATCACCGCCTGTGAGAAGGCGGACCAGTGGGAGTTGGCACTGCAGCTTTTCGCACAGATGCCACGGGCCGAGGTGACAGGCAGTGTGATCAGTTTCAGTGCCGGAATCAGTGCATGCGAGAAGGGCGGCCAGTGGCAGATGGCCCTTCAACTCCTTGCAGACATGGAAGCAGCAGACGTAAGAGCCAACGTCTTCAGCTACAATGCAGGCGCCAGTGCCTGCGAGAAGGGCGGGCAGTGGCAGCTGGCTCTTCTCTTGCTCTCCGAGATGTTACATGTAGAAGTTGCACCGGATGCTTTTACTTATAGCTACTGCGTCAGCGCCTGCGACAACAATGGTCGATGCCGCTGGGTCTTGCAGCTGCTGGCAGAGTTGCCGTTGCCAGGGTTTTGCTTTTCGTGAAGGTTCAAAGCCCAAGCTCCGAAATCTCAGTCCATCCAATCCCGCTGAATTCATGCTGAATTCATGCACGGCCCTGGAGAGTCTCTGGCGGCACACAGTGCAAGCTTTGCTCGGAAGTCCGGTTAAGCAGCCGCGAGGCTTGAATCCGCTTTGCCCCAACATCCGGCATCAGAAAAGGAGCCTCGATATGAAAATGATGATTTCCATGCACGCTCATCAGCAAACCGCGTGCTTTTACCACCTGCGTTTCTTGCCCGGCAGGTGGTGGCTGAATTCCTTGCGGATGAATCTGCACCTTGGATTCCGAACCCCACAGCTCCGAAGCTCGGGAAGCATCCGAAGTGCTACGGTCACGGGACTCTGACAAGCAGGAGGGAACAGATTTTACTAGCTGAGAAACCAGATCTGAATCCCAGCTGGAGTCTTCGCAAGTGCTTCCACTTCCATATTGCTGCGCCTCCAATGTTATCATCTGCATGTCGAGCAGGGGCCACGAGCCGCAGTGACTGTGCTAAGAGCTGGTGCAGCGCTCCTCAACAAAGAACTCTACATGCGGACCCTCGCTACCTGATCTTGGGGGTCCATCAGAGAGTGGACTGAATAACAAGCGACATGACCTACAAAACGATCCATGCCTCTTTTTAATATTGCATCGCGCCTGAAGTTGGCATGCTCGCCTTAAACCGACTGCCCTGCTTTCCAGGGTTGTTGGGCTCAGAGGTCTAGCTGTTACCTTGTTTCTAGGCAGGGTTGACCAGGCACTCCCACACCCCAGGTTCAAGAGGTCCCTGCTTAGATGAAGACCTGCTAAGGCCCTAGACCCTGAGCCCCAAAGCCCCAAAAGCGCCCCAAACCCAAGGTCAAGTCGCGACTCCTGGCCGACAAGCAGTGGATGCAGGGGCGGAGTTGCTACACCTGGGCCGGCGGGCCCAAAAGAGCATTTCGTGTTTTGATGCTTTAGGGCTTGTGGCTTCAATTGCTTGTTAAGGTTTGGGGCTTAGGTCTGTCTGGGCGTCGCCTTGACCATGCAGAGCCCAGTCAGAGAAAAAAGAACACACCTTAAACGTGAAGCAGAGCCAGCCACAAGCAGGGAGTCGATCTTCGGGGGGTTGGGGCGCGCTGCACACCAGACCCACCACCTCCCGCACGCTCCGATCTTTGTTAAATCCCCACAAACGCAAACCCCAAGACCCTGAGCCCTAAAACCCTGAACCGCCCTGAGGCGCGGGGTGTGGAGTCGGCAAAGGTCATCCGAAGGCCTGGGGCCTAGAAAGCCTTAGGGAACCTCTGGGTTTCGGAGGCTTCAGGGCCTATATGGGTCGCAGGTCCTTCGATCTTTTTAGGTGTCGAGTTTGGGGTGAGGTTTTCGGCTTGAGTTGGGGATTTCGAGCCTTCAGACTTCAGAGGCTTAAGATTGAGGATTTGGGATTCTGGATTGAAGCTTGCTGCACATAAAAGGCCTAGGTCCCGGATGCTCACAACTCCTGCAGGCTTATCCCGGTGCAAGCTTGCAGTGTTTGTTTCAAGGTTACGTTGTGCTTGTTGGTTTGTTTGCATTTTTTGGTTTCGACGGAGTTTAAGTTGAACAGCGGAGTGTCATGCGGAGCACGCTGGTTTTTGTTCGCTACGTTCCTACAGTACTCATATAAAGGCACCGACACCCTGTGTTAGGGTTGCGGAGTATATCGACTGAGCGGTTTCTGATGGAGCAACTTAAGGGACTGGCCTGTGATTAAGGGGTCAGGACTGCTGGGTTGGGTGTCAAGAAGGCCGGATGTGAGAATGACTGAGGGGCCCCCGATTCAAGCTCCCTTCATAGGGTTGCTCTCAGAGTATTGGAAGTGGTGAAAAAGGCTTCCCTTGATTTCCAAGGTTGAAGACTTCGGTATAATTGGAAGGAACCCTGTAATTAAAACAGAGGGCCCTGGCCCTGGAAGCCCTTACATAATACAGGAGCCTGGATAGCTAGAACAGGGCTTTGGTGTTTGGAGTGCATTGAGCTGTCATTATCATAAAGAGTTGCAGTATTCTAGCTAAACAGCGTTCGTTATTCGAACCACTCAGCGTTGCTCAGCTCCTGAAAGAGGTGGGTGAGGTTTTTTTTCGGGACAGGCTGCAGAAAGCTCAAAACCCGAACCACCCCAAACACAGACATGACCAGCACCCTGAAGAGGCCGCAACCCAAAAGCCACACCGAAAACGATGCTCGACCCCCCAACAAACTGAGCTACCGTGGAAGCCTCCAATAGTTAGACCAACAATGAGAAACACCAAGAAGACTTGACTTATACATCTGTATATTTACTTGCTTGTTTCGGCATTCAATGCTGAATCAATGTCTTTACACTGGTGTGAAATATTGTTTCACATGGCGCATTTACTAGAGGCAGCAGGCAGTATGCGCTGTTACTAGTGGATAGCTACGCAGAAGAAGGGGCAGATAAATCTGTAGATGCAAGGCCTGATTTTGCATAATCGAAACAGACTCTCTCAGCTGACCAATTCCGTCACAGGCTTGGTGCCGGCCGTGATGGTGCCCGGGGCCCAGAGTTCAGCAGACTTCGCCAAATTCACAAAGTCAGAATCCTTAAACTTGGACCCCGATGCCCCGAAGCCCCACCCCGCAACATGTGGTTCCGATCCAGGAAGGATTTCATGATATCCGAGCGCAGTGGTGGTATGGAACGGTAGTAAGACAGACATTGGCTTAGGGCCCTAGGGCTCAAGGGTTCGGGGTTTGGGAACTAAACGCCTGAAGACGGGCATATTTTCATGAGGAGAAGTCCAGCAAGGTTGTCTTGGTGCCTCAAGAAGCATCTTGCTGGAAGGCTGAAGTGGCAACTCCAATCCTCCAAACAACATGCTTAGACTCAGACCCAAAAAATAACCGCTGCAGGTGTCTTTCCTGGACAAGCTCCGACAGGCTCGCATGGGGTCTCGGGTTGGGGCTGGAAAACCCCAAGCTTTCAACGAAGAGCCTTTCCGGGTTTACTCACCTCCAAACTGACAATCGGAGGTAGTGTCGCAGATCGGGAACAGCCTCGGCTATGTTCGGATGGTGAGGAGCTGCTGAGGTAGAGTGTCAGACGGAATTGTTGCATGGGAGGTTGATTCAGGAATGGTATATTTGGCCAGGGCCTGACAGTACAAGTATGGCGCCGGCTAGCAAGACGTTCACCCCGACTAGGGAGCGACCCGATCCAACACAGTTTTTGAGCTTGCGAGACATTTGGAATGCGTCCAGCAATGGTGCAACGCTTTGGGAGATTTACATGCGAAATTTGCTTCTCCGTTCGGTGCGGTGGCAGACAAACGAGAACCCCACTGCTTCACGAACAAAGGCCATGGTCTAGCCTAGACAAAAAAGTAGATACCGATTGTAGAAGATTCTGCAGACTTTCACAGCCGAGAGCTTCGCAGCAGGGCTTGGAAGGTATTGCAGTGTCCCGTCTGGGGCTGCATAAGCCCAAAGCCTTAGTGGGCAATCCTAAACGGCGTGAGGACGGCAGGCATGCGAAGCATGGCCGGAAGCTTGGACTTTCTCGAGGCGGGACGTCTCCGGGGGGTGGAGCAAGGAAGGCTCCTGATAACGGCTTCTATCAGGTTGGGATAACGATGATGATGTGGGCTCGTTTTGGGGCTCCATTCAGCACTAGCCTACTTCACATTACTGTACTTTGCTGCTGCGCATGATATTGTGATCGTTGTCATTGTCGTTGTTCCGGCGAAGTAGGCTTCGGCGGGCATTTCGTGCACGTGCGCGTGTGGGTTGACTCTTGGCTACTCCGAAGTCGTCGAGGCTGAATTTTGATCAACCCGTTGAATCGGACTGGACCGTATCGGACCGTGGTTTCCGGACGTATGCGGAATAGTGGCATTATGGCCGTACATGGGACGGTACTCTCCGAGGCAAGGAAGTTCCACCATCGCAAAACTGTACGTAGCTGTAGCACATGACAGCACTGTCAAATGCTAGCATCCCCGCAGTAATGATCATCATGTCAGTCCCGTCAGTGTATTATCATCCATTACCGACTGCCCATGTTCGAACGTCTACATAAGATAATACTTTTCCGAATGACTGCTAGAGATGCTCGCCTAACGCCATTCGTCTTGTCGACGTGAAGAATGCTCCCGTGGCCATCGCGCGATTATCGTGTCAGATGCAACTTCGCTGTCACTCCTCCTCCTCCTAATTACCACTGTCATCATCTTCGTCATCATTATGGTATCGAAATCTGGGTTATCATGCCATTCTCAGCAGCATCATGTTGAGCTGTGGCCAACTGTGGCCAGGCGGCTCCTTGGCTAGGTCGACGGGAGTCAGGCAAGGAGATCTTTCCAAAGCCGACAAGACATTCGCCGAGTTTTTGGGCCTGGGCTGTTTCGGCTTTCGGGCTTCAGGCTTTGTGGTGTCCTGGTGATCTCCTTGGTAGATCTTGCCTGCTAGCCGCTAATCCATCATCGTCCCAAGCACCATGCGATCAGGCGGTGGAGACAACCTCGGCAACGATTTCTTGGAGGTGGGCCTGGACTTCCGACTAAGTATTGCTACCAACTCGAATGAGTGTGACTGCCAGTTGCCACCGTTAGTCGTACTCGTCGGTTGTTTCAGTGAGGGCCATGCCCTGAAATTTTTGCCACCTCCACAGCCACTGTACCTGGTGAGGCTGCAGAGACCGCGTGTGGAGATGCTGCAGTGAAAGAGGCGAGAAAGGGATGAAACGGTTTGCCGTCGCGCAGCTCTGCACCGGACGGCTGCTTCTCGGATTTTGGCTGGCCAACTTACCCAGGCACTCGGACCAGACGTATCATTGACGGATAGGGAGCGACAGCTAGATCCTGGCCTTTTTGCTCCTTCATGCCTCGATTGCAATGTTCAATTTGTAATTCAAGGTGCTAGTTCTTAGGGCACTCCTGAATGGGTCCTTTGTGGTGAAGGCCGCTCACCTGGCAGACACCGCAGCGCGCAGTGTCCGACGGTGCTTCGAGGATTGGCCGAGTGGGGGGAAGTGAACCCATGCATAACATGCAGAGCAGAACGAGCAGAACGCATAAGCATGATCACCAGCCTGACAGACATCACGATGTTCATTACCGTTTTCCATCACGACCATCATCATCATTGAATCATCATCACAGCCATCATCATCACCATTATCGTCAGCATCATCAGCATTAGCATCAGCAAATGTTGCCCAGGAGCCTCACTGTCACTAGTGTACATCCCGAAGTTCACGAGATGAAATGCTGAACCACGAAGCTTCGCAGGCGAGCACGGACCATCTGAACCTGCTCGCAGAAGTTTTCGCGAAAGCGCTCGCGAGGCGCCGCAAGGGGGAGGGAGTTCGTTGGTGCGAGCAAAGATGGCGTGCGGAACGTCAGCAGATAAAGAGCCGAGCCAATAACGAAGGCTGTGCGTAGTTCTTTGGTCTTTGTTTTCAGTCAGCATATGCTGGACATGAATGTTTGGATCCGGCTAATAGGCTTTCGAGCTCTTTTGCGGGGCATGATGCTCAAAACTCCAAAAGCACCGTGAAGTCCCAAGGCTGATGCCTGAGCCTTGGCCTCGCATCCGAACGTACATTGCATGCAGACTCGGTCGTGCCGAAGCTGTGTTGGCTCGTGCAAGCTTTGCTCAAGAGTTGTGCTTATCCATCAAGACCGCCAGGCGGTGGCAGGTTCCCAAGCAGTTGTAAGGAGATCTTTTGCCTCTGACGGGTGTCTTGGGGCTTGGATGCTCTCCGTCTTAGGCACCTCAGGAACTTGATGAACCAGTCTCGCTATCACCAAACATGACCAAAAAGAGCCAGTTTCGATAATGATGGTTAGTTTTGCCTCATAGTCCCGATGCATTATGTGGTCATGATATGCTAAAGCCCCAAACCCTTTTCAGGCAGGGCAGTGCAGCACCACGCCTCTTCCATCTACTAGTGTCAGTGCCTCAGACAATCAATGCCTGTATGTATATATATATATATATATATGTATATGTATATGATACCTACCCACCGAAAGATCTATGTTTTTACTTGTATATATATATATATATGATATATGTTTATTTACATACATCTGTCTCGATGTTGTGTATATGTACAGATCTATACATATCTGTACATATATATATAAATAAATAAATATGTATATATATATATATATATATAACATATGCTGTGTATTTGTATACATCTATCACACATTCCGTTTAATTTACAATCAAATACATAAACAGACATCAATATCCATAACGAATAAATGTACAATGCTATTTTATTCATATACCAACGCGTAAATGTATAGATAGATGGATAGAAATTGAAGGTAGATGTTTAACAGCTGAATATGTTTGAGGTCATGCGCATGTCTGATGGTTTCGCTTGTTGGGCTTGTGTTGATTGGTGTTGTGGAATCTGGGTTTGTGTAAAATAGAAGGGCATTGGGGTTATTGACCCGCCGCAGAAGCAAACAGGGCTGAGAGCCTTATCATGTTCTGAGGCTCCTTCCGTAGGGATCGAGGGCATGGAACATGTGTACGAGAGGGCAGGGGCTTGAGGAACCCAAGGGCATCGAAACCTCAAGAGCACCGCGCCCTGCCTTCATACGACGTTCCCATGCATCACGGCAACCCTTCTGTTGTAAGGGTAGTGACACATCTTTCCGCTGCGAGCTCTGTTCTGCTCTCCGAGCCTGTAGTACGCTTCTCAGGCCAATCTTGGGCTGCTGCTTCCTGGATTCGCTTCTCTTCGGGTCTCCGGGGAGGGTGATGTCTCCTGGGGAAGCACTCTTGACCTGAACTTTCCGCAGTTTGTCGAACTTGGACGTTGTTGGGGTAGTCTGCACCGCATATCCGGACATTCGGAAGTTCGCACGGCATTCTCCTCAACCGCCCTTTATCCCTGAATCCCTGGCTTTCCGTTGCCAGGCCTTCTGAACAAAGTTCAGTTTGAAAGGCTTGTCGTTCAGCCTGGCTTAAAATATTTTTGCGCATGGGACCCCATCTGTCTACTTTCCTTTGGGAAGCAACCAGATGGGCATATCTATCTTCTACTTACATACACTTATCATCATACAAGAGATAGATGTTCCAACTACTTGTTTGGACCAAGTGTAGCCAATGCACTCCAAGCTGGTCATTCCGCACATGGGAAACATTGCTGACAGAATGAAAAGAGCCGTACCCCAAGCGTGCAACAATCTGCGCTTTGATTCATTGTTATTTTGCAGCGGCTGCTTTGTTGCAAGTTCTGATGTGAAGCTACGTCTCACAATCCTACATTACAACTCCATCCCGAAGCTGTTGAGACCTACTTGAACACAGGCGCGAGCTATTGGCAAAGCGTGCAGTTACGTCTTCATCCCAGCACAGCAGAGAGATGCTGGATGAGCGGCCAAGGGTTCTGGGTGCATTGGTTTAAGACAGTTGAGGACATGGGTCCTTGATGCCACTGGCAGGTTGAGGCAGGTCTGCTGACAGGCGTTGTCCTTGTTGTCGTTGTCATTGTGGGCAGCATTGCTGTCGCCGATGTAGCTAGAGCCGTTGTGTCTTTCTACACGTAATGCTCGCTTGCAGCAGAACCGACACGGAGCTGGCCTAAACCCAACTATACTCCAATATGCCTGCACCCTAGAACAAGTGCAAAAGCCCCCAGTCCTAAATGCTCTGAGGCCTACCGGGGCCAAAGGGGATGCCGTGCTCTTTGACGACGGCTTTGCCGTGGGGGTGGCTTTTGTGTAGCTTGGCAACATCACAGCACTGCGTTTAGGGTTTAGGGCATGTAATGTTTAGGGTTTAGGGGTTTAGAGTTGTAGGTTTGATGGGGTTTAAGGTGTTCGAGTTTTGGGGTTTAGGGCTGCTTTGCTCATTCCGCTGCTAACGAGGGTTCATGGCTCTAGCTGTTGTTTCCGTGTTCCGGCTTTTTGCTGCGCAAACCTCTTTTTTGCAATCATAGTTGTAGCTATAACTGCTATGAGTGTGAACAGTTTCTTTTTGTGGTCGAATACGTCACCAGAACAGTTGCTACTGCAACTCGACACCTCGTGTCACGATTGCTGCAATGTCTGCTATTGCCGTTTCTTTTACTTCACTTGAAACCTTCTTCGTGTTTTTTTACAGTCCTGCCATCTGCAGCCGTCAGCTGGCGTGATGGTGACGGTGATGCAGCGATCATGATCAACATGATGGTGATGATGATGATGATGATGAGTGATAAGGTTGGTGATGGTGTTGATGGTGGTGAGAATGAAGAAGAAGATGAGGATTATGACAGTTTCCAACCTACCATAATCATGACTCTGGTGTTGACCGTGACATTTGTGAGTGACTATATTCCCTTTAATCCCTAGTCTCTACCTACATGAACCCCTGGCCCTGAACCTTAGCAACCTTAGCTCTTCAAGATCTAGTTTCCTCCCAGGCTGCGTGTCTTTGGCCTGGACCGGGACTTCCAGTCCCTTCATTGGTTTCAGACGGAGGCCCTTGCAGAAAGCACACCGGAGGTGAATCCTGCCCTTAGTGCCACGACTGGTATCATCATCTCTATTGGGTAATGGTCCTATTGAATGTCGTTAAAGATGCTCTGGCTAGTCTTGTCCGTGCGATTGTGGCAGAGTCGATCAGTATCAGTGGAGGGTTCTCGGTTTGGGATCTCCAAGACACGACAGCTGAAGCCCTGAACAGTTGACATGTGGACGGCCTTGAGATCACACCCAAATTTGGAATGTACTGAGAGTCGCTCGATGATACCATGCATAGACATGGACATTTCGCCGGGCAGCAAGAAAATGTTTGGAATTGACAAGAATAAGAACCCTCCATAAACGTTTATCTGCTGAAGCTGATTTGTTGCTAATTTTCTTCCAGATCGCCGACAGCGATGTCGCGGCGGGGCGGGCGCGTGAAGCGGCTGGGCTTCCTTTCCAGGCTCGGCCGTTGTCTCAGGGCTGCTGAAAATACGGTTCAGGGCCTTGGGTCCTAGGGTTTCGGATTTTTGGGTGTTAGCGTTGAGGTTTAAGTTATGGGGTTTGAGTGTTCTTGGTTTCAATACTGGTGCCTTTAGGCTGTATGGTTGTTGTAGGGTTTAATCGCGGCGTTTGGGGCTTTGAGTCTATCTTCGGCTGTAGGAGTACTATCGGGGCCTGAATAATTACCTACATTATTTTGGGGGGTTCCTTCTTGTATTCACAGCACAATATACCTCTAAAGCCCTAATTATTCTACTTACTCGGCGCTTCGGGGTTCAGGATCTAGGGATTGAGGATTCCACTCGCGAAGGCTGCCAGGTCAGTTTTTCGTTCAGGGGTTTGGGTTCTCGCGGTTTGGTTTAGGGCTTATGGGTCTGGTTAAGGGCAGTGAGGTTTAAGGAAGGACATATCATAGGGCTCGGGGCGGTTTGCAGCAACCTGAAGTTCCGTGAAAGCTTGCTGGAAACACATGCAGACAGTTTAGGTTAAACTGAGACAATTTCTTGTTGCTTCACACCTTCGTGCTGACTGCAGGCTATCACCGGTTTCAAGACCTTTTGGAACGCTGTGGCCCGAAGAGCTTGATGCAAGATGTTCGTCTATGCAGGTCCCCAAACCCCGATGCTTTGGTCTGAATCCCTCGGCCTCAACACTGACAAGCAAGACTTGAGAGCTTAAATTTCATCGAGAAACCCCTTGGATCTGTGGCCCGTAAAGTCCATACCTATACTGAACCCTAGGCTTGGAATAAAGCTTCGAAGTCCACACCGCCTGCATGGGAAGGACTCCCAGAGATCTGCGGCCCAAGCAGCACGACCCTCAAGAGACTGATCGTTGCTCTTGGTGTTGAGGGCCAGTACCAACTGCGACGCAACTACTGGCTAAAGCCGAAGTGCATGCTTAACGCTGCGATATTGTCTAGCTTCGCTACCGCCTGCTGCTCCACAACAGCATTGTTGATGTTACAGCAACGCTACGACGACGACGACCACCACCGCAACAACAACAACAACAACAGCGACACCAACAACGACCACGACGACAACAGCAACAGCGACACTAGCAACTAGAACTACAACGGCTGCTACTACTACTAAGACTACTACTACCACTACTTCTACTACTATTATTCTACTACTACTACTACTACTACTACTACTACTACTACTACTACTACTACTACTACTACTACTGCCACTGCTACTGCTACTGCTACTGCTACTGCTACTCGGACTGGGACTGGGGCTTGGACTGGGAGTGGGACTGGTACTGGTACTGGATCTACTTCCACTTCTACTCCTTCTGCTGCCGCTGTCCCTACCACAACCACTATAATTACCTCTACCAATGCCGCTACGAGAGCACTGCGGCTGCCAATACTGCTCTCACTACCGCTTCCATTCCACGACTACGCCTCTTCTAGTGCGCAGAAGGAGAGCAATGATATTCTTGCTGTCAGCCTTATGCTTATACATGCAGATCAGTCTTTGTAGCGAGAGACCGGGTCATGGCGGCAACATTACTCTTACCGATTCTGGGCACATTGAAGGTTTTCACGGCAAAGCACGAGAAGTAGAATAATCAAGCTCTTTGGTGCTTCTTTTGGTTATGATCAGATCGCAGCCCCAGGATGCCTAGGAGGGTCCTTTGCCACGGGTACCGATCAAGGGAAGTTCAGAGGACGCTTAGTTCGGGGAAGGCTGGACGCTGAACGCTGATTAAGCCCAAAACCCATCGAGAAGCGTACCGGGCAAACCCCTAAACCCCTGAACCCCTTGGGTTTGGGGTTTGCGGGTTTCGGGTATGGCCAGGCTCCCGTAGAAGACAAGCGGAGGCCGCAGACCGCCGCGCGCTTCTGACCTCGGCACTGGGGCAGCTCGCAGCAGCACTCGAGGTCTCGCGTACTTCCAGAGTGAGCCGGAATGGTTCTTTTCTCCTTTACTATACCATACTATATTCTATCCTTCTTCTACTACAGTACTATACCATACTATGATACTAAGTATTACTATTTCTTCTAGCCTCCAACCCAAGAAGCCAAGCTGTGAAGCGAATACTTTGATCCCGAGTAGCGAGGCGAGCAGAGTGCAAAAGATGGTTTCTTATTAAATGCTGTATACTACAGGTTATCTAGTATATGTTATATGTTGTATGTTATATACTGCATGCTATATATATATATATATATATATATATATCTATTATATGAGGGTCTAGCAATGCCTGCAAGGCGCGTGAAAGCTCAACTGTACACCTTGGTGTTTGCGGGGTTGAGCTTTGTTGTTCAAACTTAAGAGGTTTCAGTTTTGGGTTTCATGTCCTGGGGACTTCAATAGAAGCTGCAACTACGATTAGCGGCCTTGGTGCAGCATTTAGTTGCATGTGCTCAGACTTGGCGGCCTGGGTGCAGTAACGCTTGGGCGCCATAATTGGACTCCGCACATCATCAGTTTTGTGTATGTATAAAGTACTGCATTATATTACGGTATAGTACCCTTATGCTACGGCATCGGCCTGTTTCCACATGGCAGGCCGCGAGCGCCCTCTTCGGGGCGCATGCCGCAGAGCCCACAGCTCCTGAGGACCATAGTAGTAGCTTTGGAGTTTCGGCTGTAGGGTTGAGGCCTAGGATTTCGCGTTCAGGGTTTTGCGGCTAGTTTGGAGTTTCTGGCGCTGCTGTGAGTTTATACACAAAAACGGTCGCTGTCGCTGTTGCGTTTGGTGCTGTGCTGTTCCTGGTGTTGCTGTTGCTGGTGTTGGTGTCGGTGTTGCTGCTGTTGCTGCTGCTGCTGTTGCTGTTGCTGCTGCTGTTGCTGTTGTTGTTTTTGTTGTGGTTGTTGTGGTTGCTATTGCTGTTGCTGTGGTTGTAGTCGTTCTTGGCGGTGTTGGTGTTGTCGGTGCTGTCGGTGTTGTTGGTGTTGTTGGTGGTGTTGGTGTTGTCAGTCTTGTCGCTGTTGTCGCTGCTGTCGGTGTTTGTGTTGTTGGTGTTCTAGCTGTTGCTGTTGCCGTTGCTGCTGTTGTTGTTGCTGTTGCTGCTGCTGCCGCTGTAGATGTTGTTGTTGCTGTTGCTGTTGCTGCTGCTACTGCTGTTGTGGTGGTTGTTGTTGCGGTGGTGCCGGTGGTAGTGCTGGTAGTGCTGGTGGTAGTGGTGGCGGCGGTTGTTGCGTGGTAGTGGTGGCGGCGGTTGTAGCCGCCGCTGTTGCTGTAGTTGGTGCCTATTAGCCTATTTCACTGCTGTCGCTGATGTTGATGCTGCTGATGCTACGTCCTGGCGTTGCAGTTACAGTTCCTCGTCTTGTCTTTGTCTTGTTCTTCTTGCTGGCATGGCCTTCCTGTTTGAACTGGCTGGCCCCCACTCCCCGAGGAATTCCCTGAACCCCCCCTGAACCCAAGCTTCAAACCCCAAGCTGCTGGCCCAAGTCCTCAACAAACCCAACTATGAAGCTATATATTGTATCTAACGGAATCTATTGCTTGTGGGCCTTCCTCTAGGAGCACGGCCCTGCGCCAGACGACTCCGTCGATGATGCGGGCGACGACGCTACCGACGATGTCAAGAAAAGCGAAGCTTTCGTTGGGACCACCAAGGCAATAAGGTTTTCAGGCATTAGGATGTCAGGGTCTTAGGGCACCGAGAAAAGGTTTTCGGTTAATTACAAGGGTATCAGAGTATTGGAGCACCAGAGTAATAGGGTCCCCGGGTGCTTAAGTACTAGAATGAACATTAGAGCACCACGACCATAGAGTATTTCACAGTAACCTCCAGAACTCCAGAATCATTGGCTTCATTAAGACATGCTCATTAGGTCGGCCCTAACCTTCTCGATGTCTGTTTGCAGGAATAGTTTTGCCGGTCCCTGTTTTGTCAGGGAGCGTTGCCATCAAGGGATCGGTTGTAAGGGTTGAAGATTGTTGTCTTAGCAGTGGTTCAGGACGAAGCAGGGTTTCCTTCCCATGTTTGATTACATGGATGAGTTGACTTCGTCGTGGCATGTTGTTGCAGGGCTTTGGCCCGCAGGTATCACTTGGCATCTTCATCGGTTTCTTCTACCCGTGCGTCTCATCTTGTGCTTGCTGCCTTTGCTGCCGGTGAGGGCCTCGGCTGTCCAGATATCGTTTTTTCGAGCCTGCAGCTTTCAGCATAGCTTAGGTGCAAATAAAGACTGGCAGAGTCTCGGGGTTTCGACCTAGGGCTTGTGTCTGACTCTTGGATAGTCCATCGGGGCCACCACTCTTGCGGTGCAGTGTCATAGCCGAGTGCAGGAGCTTGAGCATCGTCGGCATAGTCGTCATTGAAGTCGTCGTCGACATCGTTGTCGTCGTTGTCGCTTGCATGACGGTTCTGATATGTCATACATCAACACACTCGGGCATGCACGCACGCGCACACACACACACACACATCCACATACCCTTCCAACCACCCAATCCAGCCATCAATCCATCAATCCAGCCATCAATCCATCAATCCAGCCATCCAGCGATCCATCCAGCCATCTAGCCAGCCAGCCATCCAGCCATCCAGCCATCCGTCCATTCTTGCATCTATCCATTGCACACTTGCTTGCTTGCATACGTACTCGCTGCTTACTTGCTTACTTACCTACTTCCCTGCTTACCTTCTCGCCTACTTACCTAATCACTTACTTACTTACTTACTGACTACATACTTATGTCTGAAATTCATACTTACATGTGCATGCCGCCAGACAAACGGCCACACATTATGAAGACCCTCGAGGCGATCCTCCTCCAAGTCACCGACATCTGGGGGAATGCGCGCATCCAGTCGCTATTCCAGCTCGAGCCCAATACGTTATGTTTTACAGTTTTGCAGTTCAGGTTTAGGACTCAGGGTTTAGGGTTTCGGGTTTAGGGTGGTTCTACTCGCTTCACACTAAACAACCCTAACATCCAGCTTGCCGCCCCCCCCCGAAACAATCAACACGAAGTAGTAGAGCCTCAGGCTGAAGGGTAATCCCTGAAAGCATTGGCAGCTCAGTCCTTGAAGTTGGTGGTCGGTTCATCGGTTGTCCAACCCCTAGGTTGGCTCGAAAGTGAACTCTCACGCCGTATGGCTCAAGAATACGAGACCATGGGCATTCCGCTTCAGGCTAATTGTGGACTCCCTTCAGTGCAACAGAGGACCTGACCGGCAGTCCTTCACGATGAGAATCATCTGGAACATCCATTCCGAAATCCAATCCCATGAACCCCTAAAGCTTAACTGCAGACGTCTTCTTTTCCAAGGGTGAGGTCTGGGGCACAGAACGTCCGAACCTGTGTGTGTCAAGCAGAAAATCAAACTCTCAGCCTCAAGAAGCCGAAGCAGCAATGAAAGTTTGGAGCTTCCTCTGATCATCAGCCGTCTTGTTGTCAGCTATTCCAGCTTAGGTTTCGGTGACCACTCGAATTCTGACTCGAATTGTCCGCAACCCGTACCTTCAACCTCAGTTTCGCCATCAGACCGAAACCTTAAAGCCCTCAGAAAGTATATCCAACCCTTTACAGTGTAGACCCCTCAGAGAACCCTCATATGAAACAAAACAAAACCCTGAAGACTCCTGACCACCAGGTCTTTCTCTAGAGGCTTAGGTGGAAGGGGAAAAAGGCCTTAAGCATTCACACACCTCACAAGCCTTGATAGTGTAGATCCTGTGCAGAACCCCTATATAAATATACAGAAACCCTAAACCCCAAACCCCAATAGACCTAAACCCTAAACCCCATCTAACGCCCCGAAAAGCACCAAGAGGCCTGATAAATCTCAGGTGGCATGCAGGGCTGTCGGACGAGGAGCGGAGCGGCGCGAAGCCCAAAGGCCGCTTCCTCGTAATACAACAGATTCAAATATTCGATAGCTTTAATATGCTGTTACATACTAGCACCTGCTATATTCCACTAAAATCTTCTGTGTTATAATGTAGTACGTCATAATGCTTGTGTCGGAAGGGTTCCGTATGTTTTGGGTTTGAGTCTTAGGCTTTGGGGTTTCTGGATTTCAGTTTCTTTCCACGTTTCGAGGGTTTGATGGCTTAGGGTTGAGGGTTCAGGGCATAATGTGTCGCACTGACCAAGCAAGATGATGCAGCTTCCATTCCTCTTGACAGAATGTTTAAGTTCCGCTGTAGGCTGCGCAAGGAGTTCGATGTCTTGTGGGTTTGGGGGGGTCTTGCATGTGTGGGTTTAGCTGTTTAGGGGTTTTGGGGTCCGGATTTTAGAGGGGCAGCTCGGATCCAGAGGTTTAGGGCTGGTCACGGGCACATGAAACGTCACAGATTTGGGGATTGGGGGTTCGGATTCGGGCTTCAAGTTGATGCAGTGCGACGCCCAAAGATTTGTTGATGAGTGGCCATGCTGTCCGGCACGTAAGCTCACATTGCGATCTAACTTCGCAAACGGTCAACCACGTTAAGGCGTGTCACTCCATTGCAACCTCTGGATGTTCCCAGCCATAAGTATAGACATATATACATAGAGCGGCCCCTTCAAGCTCCGTGATTCCGCACCCTTGGCCTATGCAGGCCGCATCGCTGAAAGCTGCGAGGCCAGCGGGCGCCGCAGTCTAAAGACGTCATATTAGCTGTACAGTCTGCTGGTGGGGACTCTGGAGAACTATGATGAGCCGCTTTTGTTAATATTTGGAAGTGTTGTGTGTGACTTACAAGTAGAGATTCAGGTTGTGCAGCCGCAGTTGATTCTTGCTCCATGGTATATTGTATTGGATCCGTTGCATCGTCCGTGTCAGCAGACGTCATCGAGAGTTTTATTGTTGCCGCGGTCGCGCTTGTTGTTGTTGTTGTAGTAGTGGTGGTGCGGTAGTTGTGGTGGTTGTGGTGGTGGCGGCGGTGGTGGTGGTGGTGGTGGCTGGGGCTGTGGCGGTGGCGGTGGCGGCAGTGCTATAATACTTGAGGGATTCTAATAAAATTGTAGAGCAACATCTAGTATACCACAGGATATTACAGGTAGAATGTAGTTTAGGTATCATATACTATCGATATAAATGCTATAATAACAAAGCAGAATATAGCATCTGATGTTGCAGCCTCCCACAGAGGACGAGCAAAGCCTTGGCAGTGGGGACTTGGATGCCTCTCGCGCCAGGGCCCCGTTCCGTTTCTCTCGGAGGGGCTTGCAAGTCTAGGGTTAAGGGTTAGGGTTTAGGGTTTTAGGGTTTAGGGTTTTTAGGGTTCAGGGTTAGGGTTTAGGGTATCGGGGGTCTCAAGTCAGCTTCTCGTGTCTTTGGTGTTCAGACTTCTGGAGAGTTGGGGTATGTAATGGGGCAATGCCCCATCCTTCAAAGCAACCACAGAACCAGAAGACAGCGAGTGCTCAGCTGGAGGTCTATGGGCAAGCTCGACACAGCCGTTTGGCTCTAGCTATATATAGTTTAAAGACGCACAGAAGGAAAGGATCTCTCGCGCAGTGGAAACATGGGCCCCGCAACCCTGACCTCTGTGAGCGCCGCGGTCGTCGACAAGGCAAGGTGTTGCAGAACCGAAGAGAGTGGGATGGGGCTTGCTGCCTTCGTGGCCTTGGTCATAACAGGGTCTATTAGTCTATTTGTTTTTGTTTGTCTTTATTCGTCTTCGTTTGTTTTTGATTTGTCTTTATTTGTCTTTGTATGGCCTTATGCTTATGTAAGCCCTCCGGGGATCTAAACCCGGAAAACAGAGTCTTCGATTCCACACAATGACAGAAGGCCATCGAACAGGACAAATCTTCCCCAAAACCCGAAACCTCCCAAAGTTTTGGCCGAGAGCCTGAACCATCTATCCTCAATTCCCAAATCTGAAGTCTGGACCATGGCCGCATGGTCTTCGCGCGTACTGCGAGTTTCGAGGTGTCGGTAAGCCCCAAAACTGCCGTGACCCGCAATACAAACAAAGTAGCTGTTGCGTACTGTAGCTACAGGCGACTTGTGAAAGGTGGCGTTCCACATGTGCCGATCCTCTGCTCATGGTCTGCGAAAGCTGACTGAAAGCTTGACAGCACGTCCCTTTTTTCTCGCTGTTTAAAGATAGCCCCTCCTGGGCCAGGTGGAGGTGAAGACTGCCCTGGTCTCCGTCTTCGACAAGGTGGGCTTTGTGGGATCAAGATGGTTCGGTCTCAGGGTCACTGTACAAAAAGCGTTTTGATGGGGTTCATGAATCCTAAAGCATCATGAGTCTAGGCCTTAGAGCTGTTCTTCAGTAAGTTTCTAGATCTTCTGGCGGCTGCCCCGCTCCCAACCGCTTTCAAGCTGTGACGAATCCGACTTTGATGTGGGAGTTTCACCCTGATGATGAGAAATCCTAAACCCGCAGCCCCTAACCCCCAACCCCTAAACCCTAAGCCGCAGCCGCGATGGTTCGTCGTGATGCCCCTACATCGACCTCGTGTGCCGTCAACTTCGTGCGCAGAGCCCTGTGGTTTTCGTGAATTTCCAAGTCGGCACTTCTGAGCGAGGGTGAGTTTTCTGTCTGTGTAGGTGTACGCCTCTCAGAGGCCGGCACTGAGACCTGCTGCCAGCGGAGAAAGAGCCACTACACCTTAAAAAAAACACCCCGCTTGGTGCTGTGAAGGCTGGCTTGGAGGATCTGGGAAAGTTCCTGGCCTCCAAGGGCCGGGTGCTCAGAGGATGCAGCACTTCCCAGGCTTCTGTTGGTTACGAGCTTTAGGGGTTTTGGGATATCGGGTTTAGGGATGGGGCTTGGAGAAAGCGTGTAGCTGGATTTAGGGCTTCGGGATGTGGCCGAGTTGTTTTGATTGTCATGGGCCGTAGAGTGCGATAGCTTCTTCTGTGTCTGGCATGTTTGAGTGTCTGTTCGCCATACACTGCGGAATGTTGGATCGAGCTCGAGACGGCAATGATCTCCTGATTCTCAATATGTTTAGAGCATTCTCTCTGTGCATTTATGTGAGTATACTCTGCTGCTGGCTAGCAGTGTATTGCATGACCACCATCCTGATTGTTACTACTAGACCCGAGCGGGTTGAATGCCGAGGCGTTCACATCCTTTCCACGGGCGGTACGGCCGCAAAGCTTCGCGACCTGGGATGCACTGTCCAGGCGCTCGGGTTTAGGGTAGGGTGGGCTTGAGAATCGAGGTGAATTTTCAGGTCGTTTGAGCGCATAAAAGTATCAAGGTATAGTGGTGATGACTTGTCATCTGTGTTTGCCAAAGACCGTTGCAGCTGAGTGGGATTCTGAGAGCTTCTATGCGCGAATGTTACAGTATAGGAGTGTCAGCAAAACGGGCACCTATGTCTACATAACCGGAAGGACGGCTAAGCTGAGGCCATCTGAGAAAGCGCCACGCAAGTCTCAAAGAATCGCTCATGTTTTGCAGTCATCGCGCTTGAGCCTCGGATATCCTCAAACGTCTGTCCTCAAAGCTTGCAGCAAATCAAACCGCCACAAAATGAAGGACTCCCAGTGGAACCCAATAATGCAAACCCCAACTACTAGAACCCTCACAATGAGGGCCCACAGTTTGAACCCTGAATAGTAGGATCCCTATGACCATTCCCATACGGTGCAGGATGTCGCCGACTACACAGGGTCCCCGGAGATCTTGGATGGGCGTGTGCCGCGGGCACAACGGGTGGAGCGTTTCTTTAATCCACGCGCTCGGGAAGTTTAGGGTGTAGAGTTTAGGGCACCACTTTCAGTTCTGTTGTTGCTTTTTGGTTTGTTTAGTTTGTTTGACTGCGATGGTTCGCGACCGGCGTCGAGAGCATCTACGTAGGGGTATAGATTGTACATGATGGCTTTCAGAGGTTTCTGAAGTTCGACAGGTCAGTTCTCTCTATTTCTGCAGGAGGGAGTCGGCTGCAGCTCTTATGAGGTTAATAGGCCCTTGCTATGGTTTCAGTCATACTACAACGGTCAAAGAGTGTTAATCCTTTAAGGCTGCTTCTATCATTGATCATGGACATCTCTACAGATTCTATTTGGATCTCGACACCCCAGGGACTGTGAGGGTTATGACTTCACCAAGGTCCATGAAAGATGAGCGTTCGCGAATTGCTTGTAAAGCTTCACGAAACCCAAGGAGAAATCCCAGCAAAACACCTGACCCCCTGCTTGCTGAAGGTGAAGACGCTCCACCCCAAGGTGCACGGAGGCCTCCTGGCCGCGCGCGGCAACGCCGGACACGAGGCCGAGATCGGGTGTATGGGTGCGGACACGGCTCTAGGTTTCAAAAGGATGTTCATAGCGTTTACAAGTCATGGGGTCTTGTTCGCGTTTCTCAAGAGTGAGGCCTCTCAGCACGAGTTGTATTGGCGTAGATGTTCTGATTTTCGCCCGTTTGGCCCGTGTCGCGCGATCCAGAATACAACCCTGGCTTTGACAGCTGAGAAAAGAAACTCATCATGTACTGAACATCCCTTATTGTTTTGCTCCAAGTCATGAGCTAAACCGTAAACCCTAAGCCCTAAACCCCTAAACCTGATCCGAGGCGGAGATGGAGAAGCACGGCATTCGAAAGATTGATCTCGTGGTGGTCAACCTGTCACTCGGACTTGTTGGGGATCTTCGTGGCTTGGGGATGGCGCTCTACTATAGGGGCCTTAATATTTACCTGCACTATTTTGGGGGCTCCTTATTATATAAGTATGATGGGTATATTAGGGTAGTGAAGCCGTGAGTTCTGGGGCTAATTCAGCTTGAGGTTCGATGGTGGCGTCCACACACCAGTGGGCTTGGCAGCGTATCGTCAAAGGTTTCAGGGTTGAGTGCCATGGTCTTCCGCTGCTTCCCCACATGGAAACATATTCCCTGATAGCCACTCCCCTCGCTCCCCCACACCGTGCCGGAACATGCAGTGAGTCTCCGACCTGCAGCGTCAAGTCTCGGGCTCAAACTTGTATTCCGGCAGCTTCGGTGTGAGTGAGGGAAGCACCCTCCTGCTCCTTGCTTCTTGTTCTGAAGAACTTCCTGCAGTCTTGTTGCCGCCACCCTTTGCCTTGCTCAGCTCATCGCTAGCACCAGGAAGAGAAGGATGCCACCTCCAGCATGGAAGCAGTACTTTCGTAATTGCATGTACTGAAACTATAATACTTGTACTTGTACAAAATATGTGAGATTTTCATGGTGATCATACTCAGCACCCCTTCCCCCCAATCGCAAGAAGAAGCAATCTACAAGTCGAAAGGTATCCGTTCCAGGAGGCTGTTGCCAAAGGCGGGACCCTGTCGAGACTTACTGGGTGGCTTCCTGCGTTTTCAGGTTCGGCAGGCACCTGTTTGCAAGGACAGGGTTTAGGGTTTAGGGTCCCAGCAATGGCAACTTTCAGCCTTGGTGAAGAATAGCGAGGCGAGAGCGAGGGTGCACAAGGCGAGTTTGAATCAAAGCCACGATGCAACTAGCGCCACTAGTGCCAGGAAGATGATGCTGCTGGACTGCTGGTTGTCACCTCTCCAAAGCTCCACTGTTAGCAGGGAGGAAAGTTGGTTGAAGCTTAGGCTCTGAGGCACTTATATGGGGGCCTTAATGACAAGAATAGGGTTTTGGGACCCATCATACTCTAATCATAATAAGGAACCCCCAAAACAGTGTTTGTAATTATGTTTCGGCCCCTATATTATTAGAGCTTTGGCTCGAGTGCAGGTGGGGATTTCGCCACCTGCATCGAGAACATCGACATCGGCGGCCCAGTGGCTGTGGCTGCAGCTAAGCCAACTCCTGGGTTTGGGATTTAGAGTTGGATTAGGGTTGGATTAGGGTTTAGGGTTTAGGAGTTATTGTGAAATCTTCATTCATCTTCTTGTACAAACTTGTTGGAATATTGAAGGTTGAAAATGTTGTGTTCTGATTTGTTCCTTGTTGGATCTATGCGCTTGTAGATGCAGCCATTCGGGTTCTGACATGGGCTGCAGCTTACCTGTTCAGTACATCCCCTCCGAAAAGATATGTTATGAAATCATCTTCATGCCACGGCCCTTGAAGAAAGGGGTTTATGAAGCCTATAGAAAGCCTTGAGAAAACGGGGTCACATTGCAGTTCTGAAGCCGGACCTCTCTCACTGCGTGGCAGGCCGGGCCCACACCCCAGGAAGGCACTTAGAGAACGAGCTCCAGCCAGTATTAGTATTGGCTTATAGGGGTACTTAGAAATATTTTTTAATGTTTGGTTATTATCAAAGACTTTAAGTTTGCACCCTAAACGTTTGTAACCCTAGGTTTGGGGTCCCAAATACCCCCATTAAGGGCCATATTCCATGTTTTAGGGACCCAAACCCAAGGGTACAAACCCTAAGGGTGCAAAGGAGAACTCCTTGATATTATAATCCAAGAAACAGCTAACATTGTGTAATTTTTGCTAGGGTTCTAAGTTCAGTATAGTTGGGGGAGAGCCTTACGAGCAGGGGGATAGTTAGGTTTCCATATACGGACCACATATGTGCAACCCCAGCCCGAATCCTTGACTGCCGAGCCTGCCCTGAAACCTGAAAATCCTATTTTATTGAACCCTGACAGACCCCTCATAATATGGAATCTCTATGGAAAAACCTTTATGAGACTCATATGACCCGCCCACAAGGCGATGATCCGAGCCTCAGCGAAGAACAACGCGGCTGTGACCATCCTTACCAGCCCCAGCCAGTGCCCCGTAGGGCCCGCAGGCGTGAGAGTCTAGGGCTCTTACGGGGTACGGGGTTTGAGGGCTTGGGGTGAAGGTTTAAGGCCCAGGGTTCGAGGGTTCAGGGTTTCAGGTTGAAGGTTTAAGATGTATGGCTGCGGGGTTTTGGGGTTGAGGGCTTTCATAAGTCAGACAACCATCCTAGGTGCTCCGTTTCCCTGTGGCCACGCATCATCTTCATGGAAATATGAGTAGAAGGGCAGATAAAGCCAGATTTCTCGCCGTGGCCACCAAGTCTCAATCCTACCAGTTACCAGCAGCACCTCCACAGTTTTGCAAATCGGTCCTTACTTGACTTCAGGTTGTCTTGACGGAGGAAGGTTCTCTGCTGCCGCATGCTAGACCCCGTCCCCGAGCGCCGAAGCCGCGGTCTGGCATTTTGCAATCCTAGGGTTCAGGCATCGGAGGGGGCCCTGAGCATGACAGGTACGGCACCTTCATGCAGCAAGTCTCCGACAACGCTGGCTGCACAACTTTTGCGTTTCGGATGAGATTTTATGTCCACGTGTTGCCAGCATCTGGTGTGCCAGACAATCCTCAACTTTGGCACGTCCGTAGTTTTTAGGGTATTCGGTCGTCTGTTTCCGTAGCTCGAAACACACAGCCGCAACTTGCGAGATCACGAACACATCTGCGCAGTATCTTTTCACAATGGATCCTGTCCCATGGCACTGCTTTCCTTGCCCTGGAAGCTGCGAGTCATTCCTGTAGTTGCAGTGCAGAGCCAGGTTGTGCGTTCTAGTCCATGACTGTTACTTAACATCCTTGGCAATTGCTCTGGAGGTTAACCATGAGTGCTCAGCTGCCACTATAGAGGTCTTGCGCACAGATTGGATTTAGTGATGCATGCCCTGATAAGTAGCTTATACGCACCCTGAACCTCCGAGTAGACTTTTCAGTGCCACGGAGAAGCATGACTCACTGTTGCGGTACCAAGGCTTTCCGCAAGAACATGGCCGCAGCCGCTTATGCGCTCACCTCGTCCTACGACTCGGCCGTGAGCGCATGGATGGCTGGCGAGGCGAAGTTTGCTTTTTAGGGGTTGTGGCTTAGGGTTCAGGAGTTAACCCTAAACCCCGAACTGTGGCTTTCCAGTGAAGGATTTTTTGTTCTGGCTGCACATGTGGGAACATAGTTCTCAACACTAACACTGCTGGCACAGTGTATATAAGCTATTCAGATCCCATGTTGTCGCATGAGCTGCATTGACATGAACTTAACTAGTCTGTGAACAACACAATAGAACACAGACAAGACCAAACTGCCTGGGCTTGGCGTGTAAAGACCTTGATTTAGAGAGCCACCAGTTTGAGTTGCAGAGCTATCAGATTTTCACGTGGTCGTTCTCCACTTCTTACGAAATGTTCCTCCAGTCCTTGTGAAGAGAGCGGGGCTGCTCAGCCTAGGCGCAGGTGTTTGTGTTTTGAGGAGCTCAGAACTAAAGTACCCGGCTCAGCTTCTGAGGCTCGCACGGAGGGGGAATGTGATTTTGGGACCTAAGACGCGTCCTGTCCCTTCTGGGGGAAGGTGACTGAGCCGCCCGCGAAGAAGACCCTCACCTTTGACCTGCAGATGCCGCTGAAGTGCCCCAGTCAGATCTGCAGATGAAGCCGAACGCCAAAGCGCAGCAGCCGTCGAATGCAGCACCTAATACCCTAAACTCTAAGCCTGACAGGTTCTATATAACTTAAAACCCCAACGAATGGTGGTAGCTTCAACAGAATGCGTAGAACCGCTGTAGAACCCTTTTAGAACCCTTGTCACAGAACCCTTAGTTGGGGAAGCCTTAAGGAAAGCAGCCCTTAAAGCCAACCTGTAGGGGTACCCTAAACCCACAAAGAAGGCCTTAACAGTAAGCCTTAAAACCAACTTTTGCGGGTACCCGAAAACAATAATGAAGGAGCCCATAAATAGCGACCCTTAGAAGTATCCTAAACCCATAAAGGAACCCTTAAAATCCTTAAAGGCAAATCCTTGGAGGTATGGCTGCAACCCCCATCAGCTGCCTGCCGGGCTTTGCGCCGTGGCTGGCGGCAAGCTGCCCTTCGAGGCCTGCGGGGTTTGGGGGCTTTGGGTTGAGGGGTTTAGAATTTAAGGTTTTTGGGGGTTTAGGGTTGAGGGGTTTCGTATTTAGGGCTGCGGGTTGGGGGTTCGAGGTGTAGGTGGTTTCTGGATTTAGGGTTTAAGGCTTAATAAGGTTTAGGGTTTAGTCCAGGGGTTAGAGTCTATAGAAGACTTAGACTAGGGTTTGGTAGTGGCTTGAGGAGAAGGACGACTGCTCGTATTGTAGGATTTCGCTGCGTTCTGGCATCGTCCAACATAGATATGGCTCCCGGTGAACTTACCTCACATCTTCAGATTGAAAGACAGGAAGAAGCGCTTCTGGTTGTAAGGCCGCAGCCGTGGATTCTGCGAATAGGCAGTTAGGGGCTTCAGACTCGTGGTTGTTGGGTGTAGGTTCAAGGTTCTAGAATGTAGGGTTTACGGTTAGAAAGGTTTTAGGAATTCGCAGAGGCACCCTTCATCATCGCTTCGATCACTACTTCGCTTGCTAAAGGGCCTTCCGTTCCATGTTGTCATAGTATATCTATAGTAGGGGCCCAAACGAAGAGTATGAGTGGTTGAAGGTTTAGCAGTGCTGCTTGGGTAGGGTTGCAGTCGACTTTTCTTCTCTGTTCAGGGTAGTGATCTTCAACGCAAGGGATTGTGCTGCAGTTCGGTTTTCTTCCGACGAGGGGATTTACTCGGGGCCTTGCGTCGAGCTCCCAAGCCTTACAGATGCGGTTTGGGATCGGGGTTCGGGTTGCGAGGACGGTAAGGCGGTAAGGTACGGTTCAGGATGTTCAGCTGAAGCTGAAAGCTTGCGCAACGAATCAGAAATTCTACCATCGCGGCACACAGGAACTCGTTTGCTGGATGGCCTGTTCGGCTCTGAATGGGTTCGGAATGACTTTACCTAATTTAATTACTTTCGAGTTGCAAAAGACACGGTGCTCGAAATGAACCCTGAAAGAACCCTTGGAGGAACCCGGAAACAGAACCCCAACAATCACTGCAAGGAACGTGACGGTATACGATCGGCTCTGTGTGCAGGTGCTGAATGGCACGCCGGGCTACATCAACCTGCTGGTTGCTCGAACGATTAATATAGTAATGTGGTATAACCGTGCAGTTGCAGTAGTTGCATGTATGAATACACTATACGAGACCGGACTCGGCTAGAGTATACTAGACTAGACTAATCCAACGCAGAGCTGAGACCCCCAGCCAGGGGCTACTACTCCTAATTACCTTCAGGGTTGGTAGAAGGTTTGCTATCAGCGTCCGAGGAGTTTAGGGTTGGAGTCTACAGAATGAACTTCTGCAGCACTCCCAAGCCTGGGATGCTTCGAAAATGTTTGAAGCTTCGGCTCAACGTCCGAAGCCCGGAACTTCCCGTGAGTCTCAAAACCCAAGCCCTGAAAGCCTAGAACCCTTTGTTGGGCCTGTGTTAGCGCCTCAAGGACGCCATCAACGCCTGGCAGCTGGTTCATGAGCTTGGCAAGGCCTCTCCAAGTATTGGCCCTGGAGGGCTTCGGGCTTCCGGTTGAGGGTTTACTATACTTGCCATCTTTGATACCCATTACGTCCCCATGTGGGAGTTTCCGAAGATAAGGACCCCAAAGTAAGGTACCCCCAAATTTCGGAGCTCGCTACAGGTGCCCGCCCCAGCGCCCTTTTGCTCAAGGGACTCGGGGAGCGTAGGAGAAAGGTCTTGGGTTCAGGATTTGAGGGATTAGGGTAAGCCCCCAAAGCCCCCACACCCTTACACCTTTCTTGCAGGCAACTGGTCTGCCAGCAGCCGCCTCCTTCAAGCATGTCAGCCCGGCTGGTGCTGCCATCGGGCTCCCTTTGAGCGATGAGGAGCCATGCTGTAGGGCTTAGGGCTTGGGGCTGGGGGCAGCCCGACCTCTTCCATGTTGGCGGGTGTTGGATTTTTTCCAGGGCGAGAACAGGCATCGTGTCTTCCTTGCAGGGCTCAAGCTCACCGAGAATACTCGTAGGCATAGTGACAACAGAAAAATGGGCAGACGTAGTTGCTCTCAAGTTATGATATCGGATATCGTCGCTCAAGCAGTACCTTGGAGGGCTCTGACCCGAGAGAGTTAAGACTTTCAAGTTGTTGTCATCTGCAGGAATAGTCCGGGGGTGTTTCAGCGTGAAGAGCTTTAAGAGGAGTCGCGAACCCCATCTTTACAATGCTACAACACAGTAAACAACTACTACTACTGCTACTGCTGCAGCTACCGCTACCGCGTTCCGCTACCGCCTGCACTGCTACTGATGCCGCTGCTGCTCTGCTAGTGTGACTATTGCCGACCTGTACTATCAACATAGATAGCAGGAAGACACTGGTGATAAGTGTAATCAGTGAAGCAATCATTCAAACATGGTAGTGCGCCCCGCGCTGGTGAGAGGACAAGCGGCAATATTGGCAGTTGTTGCAACAACAGGGAGGGAGAGAGAGAGAGAGAGAGAGAGAGAGATGGCCGTAGCCTTCGGGTGTTCTATGTTCGTCTTTCACGCCTCTCGCCCCGAAACACTTCGGGTGGGCAAGATGCCCGGAGGCTTTGACCGGCCTCCATGCCCAGGAAAGAGAGAGAGAGAGAGAGAGAGAGAGAGAGAGAGAGCGAGAGAGCAAAGCAAAGCAAAGAGAGAGGGAGAGAGAGAGAGAGAGAGAGAGAGAGAGAGAGAGAGAGAGAGAGAGAGAGAGAGAGAGAGAGAGAGAGAGAAAGAGAGAGAGGTAGGCAGCTGGCAGTGTGGACAGCCCAAAAGCAGCACTCAAGGCACACACACACAAATCATGCAGCTACATGATGACTCTACATTGAAACACTAACATATAGAAGGCAACAGGCCGTCGGATGTGAAATTCATGCACTCATGCTGCTCACGAGGAGAGGCTGGTCTATGAGGTCAAGGACAAGGAGCTCACGGATGTTGCAGCAGCCTACGTGCGTGCCAGGACTGAAGCTGAAAGAGGCTTAAAGCCAGAACTGGAGCCAGACGAGCCTTATTGAAACGATTTCCAGGCAGAGCACTCGTCTCGAAGTGTAGACTACATCTTGTTTCGGGTCTCGGGATCTTTAACCTTGGCTGCGGCTCAGAAGAACTATATTTGTGCAAAGGCTGCACTATTATATACAGATTCTACAAGTGGCGGCTACGATGATGTTATGGCGATTGAATGCTATGTCTAGTGGCAGCTGTCGTGGCGCTGTATCAGCATTCCGATGGTGGCGCGTTTGCTATCAGTCCGATGGTTGCCACTCTTCATGTGTTTGGCATGGCGGAATGAAACCGACAGGAAGCCCAGAAGACGGCGTGGGGTCTGGCCGTATACAGTCCCAGCGAGTGCGACGGACCTCCGACAAACTTTAACAGCCCTCGTGACTGTCGCGGATGAGTACTGCGCGGATCCAACTATTAGGGAGCTAGGGCCCATCCTCAGGAATGGCAGCATCTGCCCTGCCCTGCTACGCACCAGACTTTAAAGATTCAGCACATCGTGTACCCAGTCCCTGTGAGCTTGAGCCCAAACTTGAAAACCCAAACACCCAAGCTGGAAGATTTTAAAACCCGACATGCAGACAACCCGAGACCCCAAAACCCGGCAAGTGCTCTGGAGGAATGCTGACCCTATGTGCTCCTTTGGCGATTTCGTTGCCATCTCTCACGAGGTCTGCCAAGTTTTGCTTTCCACAGATGATGGTTATGCAATGTTGTCTCAACAATTCGTCATAATAGTACTCCCTTGTCCCCAATGTACCTCAGCCCTATGCTTAAGGCATTTGATTGGCACAGCAAGAGCCCTAGTTTGTACTACATCCTGTCATCTGTAGCATAGATATGTCTTGCAGCAACCTGTACTTCTGTATCAGATATGATATAGTGTGACCTGGTATATAATATGGGCTGTATTTCTACACTGTCACGCCATATTGATTCTTTCTCTCTCTCTTTCTCTCTGTATATATACACAGATATGTAATATACGCAGATATGTACATACATGTTATAATTTCTTATTAGACTGCGTAGACTGTATTGTTGTGTATTGCATTAAAACTATGTTGGACTAGATGATATTATGTTCCATGTACACTTGTTCAAGCGGAACCCATGCTCCGGTGCTACGTTTTTTCCTTGTGGCCGGCTTCCAGGTGGACGTGGCCACAGCAATGATTTTGAAGATCGAGGCGCTTCGGCTATGAGTGTAGCGATGTCCTGCAGGAAGAGAGGGGGCAGCAAGGGCGAACTCGATTTACGAGTTTCACGACTACGCAGGTCATATGAGACCCTCTTAGCCGTAGAAGTATAACCTACGTATACATGCATGGGTACTGCCCAGTAATAACAAGCTTCTTCCTCAAACGTCAAGGCTTTAAGCGACTGGGTCGTACAAACGAATGGCTGCAGATCTATGTAGTCAATCATTGTTATCGTGACGACACCTGCTAGCACCTGCCTGAAGTGTTAGCTTCTTCTTCAACAGCCGCACCGTTTCTTTCTCTGGCTGTTGGCTAGAACCCCATACCGCACCTTATTCCCCGAGCCTGTGAGTCTATTCAAAGAGCATGTTGGTATCATGATTTTCTCTCATGTTTGGTATAGCATCAGAGATGCGGTCCGCGTCCCGGACGGTCCCAAACCAAGTCCCAAGACCGAAATTTCAACAACCTTCCGACACCCTAGGCCTTAGACCTTGAACCTGCGCCTAACATACCCGAGACAAGTGGAGCATGCATCTCCCAGGTCCGAGGTGTTTTTGTTTGCGGCACGAAGCTCCAAAAAAGCTCGCACTGTAAAGAATTGAATCCTCCCGCAAGAACCCTGAACTCCAGCAATGATCTCAGGCAATGCTCGGGGACGAGTGTTGGAGTGAGGGTTTAGGGCTCCGGAAGCACAGCAGTCGTCGGAGCATCCTCTTCAACAGCTCCCAGATCTCCTGATCTTGAGGGTTTAGGGTTTCGGGCTTAGTAACTGTTCGCACTGCAGTTGTAATTGTGACAGCATCGCTTGTTATTGTCAGTATCAATCGGCGCTGTTGACGCCATGTCGAAATCATGAATCATGGAGCATGCAGAGGCCTGAATTATCAGGAACAATATGCCTTTTATGGCCCCTGTAAGAAACTAATTACCCACAAAAGCCTTTTCGATTCGTCAAAGCCCCCATATTGAAGAGGTCAGTGATGGTATCATCGCTCCGTCCTTCGTCCCTGAGGCAAGTTGCTTCCGATCCAGGGGGACGTTTAGGGTTTAGGCCTCAGGGTCCAGGGTCGGGGCTGACAGCAGTCAAGGAAACCCGCGATGAACGAAAAACCGGGGGCCGGTCTAGGGCTCGGAGCTTTAGGGCCAGAGTTCAGAGCATCCTTCATCATTTGAGCGTGTTGTTCTGCCCTTGTTGAAAACGTAGGGGTATTGGGGTATTCTTGGTGCACTACAACGATGTGGAGAGTGACTATGACTATGAAATATGAAGGAGAACTTCTACTCAGGAGGGGTGCAAAGTAGAAGCTCCTCTAGCAAAAAGCATGCGGGACATCCCGAACCTCCAAAATGCGGCGACCCATCTAAGCGCTGAACCCTTGAGATCCACGGTTTGATGACAGAGGTCTTCATGATCACAATTTCTTCGTTTCTAGAACCATTGCCAGTCTTATTCTTCTGGTTGTGACTGTGGCCGCTAGTAGGCAGAAGCGGCAAGTGCGCAGTGATCCGTCTCTCTCTATAGCACCTACCTGTCCAGTGAGGCGTTGGAGACCCTCAAGGCGAAGAAGGGCGGCAAGTTCATCGTGCGCCGGCAGGGAATCGGATTCCAGGAGTTTGCATCAGAGGTTGGATGTAGCGGGCTGGAAAAACCAGACTTTAAATGATGAGAGCGGGCTTAGCGCATAGAATCGGATAGAGTTTGAGGCATTTTTTGGTCGGACAAGGGCGACCAAACCCCCTAGGCTTCACCATTAGTCATGATCCTGAAGCTTTATGCCCGGAAGCCCTAAGCCCTCAAGCACGAGACCTCGGGCCTTGATCCTCCATTCCCCAACTCCATGATCCCGGCGGTGCAGAACATGAACGCCAGCCCCTCATGCTCAAACCCGAAGCTCCTAAAACCCTACATTTCTAGATCTAGGCTCCAGAATCCAAGCCTCAGCACCTCGCCCTGAAACCACTTCAAAGCCTAAAGCCCAGCTCGAGCGAGCAGAAGACTCGAGGTCTTGAAGGCTGATGCAGGCTTCAAGTACAGCGATCTCGAGTATCGACGCCGGGTCCTGTTCCAGCAGACGCGACACGCGTAGGGGATTTCGAGACGGCCCTCGCAGCTAGTTTAAGTTTATTTCGGGGCTTGGGATGTGGATGAAGTTTACAATTCGGGTGTATGATTGAAACCGCAGAAGCTTACATCGCTTTTCCATGCAGGCATGCACACAGAAATCAATACAGGATGTCTTGGCAGGGTCTGCTTTCTGCAACCTTGCGACCCATGTTTAATGTTCGAGGAAGGGGCCTCCGAGAAGTCGTTCTGTTGCCGCTCGAATCTCTGGTACCACAAGTCCAAAGGCGATCCTCCAGATCAGTGACCCATGGCCCATAGCCTCAAACCAGGCCTGCCACGTGCCGTGGCCTTCTGCAATCGCCAGTGCTCGCGTGCATCTCTAAAGACCCAAACAGAGACCCCACAGCTCAGGAATGGTCGGGGGTGTGGGCTTCATGCAGAAGCGCAACGATGCCATCTTCGATGCTTCGAAACTCGCAGAGGCCGGAGAAAGGAGGTGGAAGACAGCCTCAGAAAGCCAGCACAGTGCAGTGTGCGTGTGCGCATGAAAGTAGATATCAGTATCAGGAACGGTACTCATAATTCTCCAAGTCATTCTAAATACCTCTGTATTGGCAGTGACACGGCATATTAGGTAGTGACTCTTGTGTACGAGTTTGTTAGATTCGGGTGCACGTAGATGTTCCGGCATTTCTACACGCACATTCACAAGCAACAGGCAATTAGTTCAGAGGCATTCGCTCTGACATAGGGGCATGCGCAGTAGGCTATAGAGACCCAGAGATCCCTGTACCCCTCTCTTGCGGAATCATTGAATCTGAACAAAGTCTGTAGAATTTAGGGGCTATTCCGTGATAGCCATGACCTGGAACTTGAACCCTAAACCCTAAATGCGACTCTAAAGTTCCGTAAACCTTGCTACTCGTAACCCATTCTCGGAAGGTTGTTACGTCCAGCAAGACCATCCCAGACAAGGCTGGGCCTATAGAACGAGACAAGTCTGGGCAGCTGACAGACGGTTTAGGATTGCGGGTTCTAGGTTATACTTGTCTGATAGCAGCATAGCAGAGCATACAATGTAGTATGCTCTGTATCTCATGTGACTCGTTTTCATAGGCTCTCTTGTAGTGCAGTGGAATATCACCCATCCGGTTGGTTTCAAGCCGGTGCCTGCCATGAGGAACGAGTCCTTTGAGTTTGCTGCAGCTGAGGCCCAGAAGGACCTCATCTTGGCTTCCATCGCCATCAAGTGACCTGCTCGTATTGTGGGATTTTTGGGATCTGTTCGTATTACCATCATCTCGGGATTATAATTGGATGGGGATACTGTGCTGGCGCTACTTCTTGTTGAACTTCAGCTGAGCCTCTTGCAACGCGGCTTCGGGCAGTGTTGTCTCCGTGCATGTCCTAAACCGAGCAGTGGTCGCATGCCGCCACTGCTAAAATGGCACCTGAGCAAAGAGCAAAATACTCCGCATCACAAAGTAATTAGTCTTCGGGAGGTCTTCGGCAATCATGTGGCATGAATGCATTGCCGGATTGTGAAAGGATAAGGTGAGATGTATGTATGGGGTGTGCCGTATGATATGTAAGAGAATACCCTGCACCCCCCCCTAAACGATAAGCTCATTTTGTGGGCTTGCGCGCATGGAGGCCTGAAAGAGAATTCGAAAAATGAGATCAGGAGGCATGGCCTCGAACGATATCAGAACGATCGCCGAAACCATGCCAAAGTGGTCATTTCTGAATACTTGGCCATTCCTCGCGACGCCGCTAGAATTGAGGGTTTCGTTCAGGGCATCCAGATTGAAGAGACGAGGATCTTCTACATACTTTGGGCATGGCTTGCGAGTGTTTAGGGAATCGCTCTCGACATGACTCGACATGCTTGCCAATGACTTGCTTTATGATGCTTATGCCACTGATGTTGTTTGATATGTAAAACGATATACTGCACCCCCCCGCCCCGCCAAAAGTGATCAAGACAGAGACCACTTTCGCGTGAACGAATGTTGCCCATCGCTCACCTGCATCAAGACGGCAAGAAGTTTCTTTGCTGTTAGGGTTCAGGGTGATTTGGCGCTTGGAAAGTTGTAGAAAGGTACACCCAGTCCAACTCGGTCGGCTACAGCAAGAATGGCATGATGGTCGGCGTCGGTGCAGGCTTGCAGGGCTCCAGTCCTGAAAAACACTTCGGGCACCCTACACTCAAGGCGATTTTCCCCATGAGCTTTCTCTAGGGATATGAGCTTCGTCGTCAAAGTTGTTGCAGACATGATCGTGCAGTTTTTAGATTTTGTACAGCATATGAGCTTCATCGTCAAAGTTGACATGATGGTGCAGAGTATCTTATTCTGAGAGCAAGGCCAGCAAAGCCGCGTCGACTGCGTCAAGCTGGCGGGTCGCAAGGCGAGATCCAAGTCTGTGTGCTTTGCACATATGTAAAGATGTGCACGTGCATGCACGTCTCCACATGTATATATATATATATATATGTATAATATATACACATACATGAGAGAGAGAGAGAGAGAGAGAGAGAGAGAGAGAGAGAGAGAGAGAGAGAGAGAGAGAGAATGCTGATGACTTGTTGATAGTAGTGATAGTGGTGCAGGGTTTGGTGAAGCGGAAGCTGTTGCAGTTCTTCGGTCGGGTGAGTTCATTCTACTTGATTCCTAACATGTGTTAGGCCAGAACATTCATCCCTTTATTCGTTCACCTCCCACAGAAGCCTCACGGCTCTTACAGCACCTCTGCCGAGATGTCTGGCCATTCTCCGCACACGCAAAGACTTTCGTTGGGCAACTGCACCCGTTCTTCTTCCGGACATGACGAGAAACACAACCGTCCCTGTCCTTTGCAACGAAGGCTCTTGTCTGGAAGTGCAGGCTTCCTCACCCAGAGCCCGGGAAAAAACATCTCACTACCGGCAAGCCCTAGCACACTCTGCACCTGGACCGAGGCGCCCCTAGCATGTACACGCCTTCATCCAAACAAAGAATTTCGAGCCCTCCGATCAGCACAGTCCAGAACCTTCCACAGTGTGCCCAGAGCTAACGCAGAGGTGGCGACTTGGTGGCTGCGCTTCCACCCGAAAGTGAAGGGTCTGCCCTTCAAGGAGTGCTGGGTCTTCGGTCTTAGGTGCGTTGTACCAAGAAAAGCTTCAGCAGTAGAAGTTTCTTGGTGGTGCACTCGCTGCTGCGACTGCCACCACCACTCTCACAGCCCAGCGTCACACCCGTGACTACGACGATTACAGCTAGTAAGAATACACACTGCTACTGATGCTGCCTCTGCTGCTGCCCACTCAGAGGCCTACTCTTGGCTTTGTCGATGATGACAATGGAAAGTTACGGTGGAAGTGATTCTGGTCGTGGCCAGAGAAAAGTGGGCAACAACCAACATCATCGGTGAGAGCAACGCTTAATTAGTCGTCATGGATGGTACGACGACAGAATCGCAAAGTTCTCTGACAAGCAGCGCGCAGCGACTGAAACCTGAACTTCGATGCTGGCATTCTGCTAAACTCAGTGCAGTTTTGTCTACAAGTTTTCTGCCATGCCCTCTCGTGCCAGATTTTCTGTATCATATGGCCGGGATGAAAACAGGGCTGCTGCCAGGCTTCGTCGTAGAGCCATTGGATTAACAGATGCGGAACGCTGCGAACCCTGAGCTTCAATTTTTCTAACCATATGCTCCTGGAGGACGGCGTCAAGCGTCAGGACCGCGTGAATGCCCGGGTGCGCTACATCGAAGGCGATATGGAGGAGCTTCGCAGTCTGCTTCGTTTGACGTGACCAGGTGTCATCGGCTTGTTGGTGGTCAGCTTGGCTTTAGGCCTTCTCCAGGTTTGTTGCTTTTGTTACTCTGGAACTTCCGAGGGTGTGCCGTGACTTGTGCCAGTATCCGGCCTCACTGACGGCTTGGCCATGCAGTATTGGCACAGAACACATGAGAACACTGCTGCATACAGAATTGTGGCTTATATGGCGTCCAGTAGAGAACGCTTTTCTTTCATGATCCGCAAGCAAGCGCATGATGCACCTTCAAACTATGTAAGAATGAAGCAGCTACCTGCTGTTGTTTGTTCGTCTCGGTCGAAGTCGTGTGGCTCGGTTGATGCCCTTCCGTGTCTGTTTGGAGGTCCCTCCGTTTCACGTTGCCCCTGCCTTCCCGCCCAAATCATGAACGAGACTAGGAACCACCTCGGGAAGGCTGGCAATGCTGTAAGAGCTTCAAAAAACACCGTAAAGCCCTCGAGCCCCCTTTTCAGCCCTTCTAGAACCTTCAAAAACCCCCTGCAGAATCCTCAGATGGATCCCTCATAGAAGCCTATTTAATAGAACCCTGTAGCCTTCCAAAGAACGCCTTATACGGGTCCCTCATACCCAACCCCATAACATCCTATAACACTCCAAACAACCTCTTGTATGGATCCCTCACAGAACCCTATTTAAAGGCCCCAAAGTCGTAGAAGCCTTTCATGGATCCCTCATAGAACCCTATAACATCCTATAACTCTTCAAAGAACCTCTTACATATATATATATATATATATATATACATGTATATCTACATATATGGATGAATCATGGAACCCTCTAAAAAACCCAAAGTCTGCTCCCAGGAGGCCGAGCGCACTGAGTGGCTGAAGAACTTCGATGCCCCCCCGGAGCCGCTCTCGGCTGAAGAGAAGAGCACCTTCCTCAAAGGCCGCCGCTGCGGGGGTGTAGGGATCAGGGGACTTAGTAACTCGGGTTCCTTCAAGGGTTCCTTAAAAAGGGGATCTATAAGGGCTCTATAAGAGGGGTTCAGGGTTTATGGGGTGTAAGGTTCAGGGTCTATGGGGTTAAGGGTTTTGGGGGGGGGGTTGAGGGTTCCGGGTTTATGGGGTGTAAGGTTCAGGATTTATAGGGTGTAGGGTTCAGGGTTTATGAGGTTGAGGGTTCAGGGTTTGCGGGAGGGGGTTGAGGTCTAGGGCCCAGGGCTCATAGGGTTCAGAAATCTCCCCTGAGTAAGCCCAAACCCTAATCGGCCCTGCGCCCTGGACCGCAAGCCTTCAACCCCACTCCCCAACCCAAAAAATCACCAAAAAATCCCCTAAACCCTAAACCAAAAAAATCCCTAAACCAGTAAACCACCCAAAAAACCCAAATTCGAGAGGCCTGGATGACGTCGCCATCTCCTCGGATGCTTTCTTCCCCTTCCGGGACTCTATCGACCATGCGACCAGGTCTGAGCTTGCGGTTCTGTAAGGGTTGAGGCTTTAATCTTTTGGCCGTTTGGGCTTTTCTGGGTCTTTGGGGTTTGGGGCGTCTGGTGCTTTAGGATTTGCTTACGGTGCGGTGCTTCGCGCCCAGAAAGGTCGAGTTTTTGGTGGGGAGCTCAAAGGAAGACGTTACAAAGACTCGAGAGCGGCCGTGAAAACTGGCCGAGCAAACATTTCGCCATGTCGCTTTGAGAGGTACCGACGCAAACTATGTGGTTTCAGATATATTTAGCGGAAGGCTGGTGCTCTTGAAGGGTCCCATCTTGCGACAGGCTTGGTGTGAAGTTCGTTGCCCAGCCCGGCGGGTCCGTGGCAGACAAGGAGGCACTGATGGGCTGGTGTGTGTGTGTGTGTGTGTGTGTGTGTGTTTGCGGGATATTTCAGAATTTGAGTCCATAAACGACGCAGCTGATGCCGGGGCTTGTAGAGTTTGGAGTGTAGCGCTTCGGGCCCTTGTCAAAGCAGAGGTTTCGCATCCGATAGAAAGAGGTCGTAATAAATTATATATATATATATATATATATATGTATGTATATATATATATATATATATATATATATATATATGGCCTAGTATCCTCTGCCTGTTCCTGTTCCCCGGCATTGCTTTACACAACTCCGAGCAGCACGTCCGAAAGCCCAGCCGAAAGCTCGAAAGCACCGCAAGGCCATAAACCCCCAAGCTCCCAGTTACAAAATACCGCGATTCCTAGCTCGAAGCTTCACGACCGATTCTTGCCAGAACCGATCTCTCCAGCACTAAACAGGCCAGGAAGCCTAGTGCACTTCACCGCAAACTCCAGGTCATCGATGCCTGCAACACCTATGGCATGACCATGGCTTTCACTCAGCTTCGCCTCTTCCATCACTGAGGAGTCGGGCTCCCCTTTGAAGGAGCTCTGCTCACTCACACCCCTAAGCTCTAACCCCCAGACCCAGACTTTGAGGCCCCCCTGGCGGGGGGTTTCGGGCGGGTTCACAGTTTCAGGGGGTTTCCGACTCCCAGTTAGTGCCTTCGATGCCGAAGCCCGCAATGGCCGGTTTCGCCTAAGAAAGAATTACTTTGCTCCGGTCTTTGGAAGCCAGCGAGGGATCCCGGCACCCAGCGTCGGGTTTAGGATTCTCGGTTTTGGGGGGTTAGAGCCATGACGCCCCTAGTTAGGCCCTATACGCCCTAAACTTCTGGGATCGTGATCTCCTCTCTGGCTTTGGCCGGAGGTCAGCAGCGGAGCTGCAGACCGCCACTGCAAGTGGACGCAAAGTTTTTGATCATCTCTTTCGCAGCGGACAATGACACGGAGTTACATGCTCCGCCTTCTTTCCACACCCTATCCACACCCGAAACCCTTTATCTACTCGAGCTTCGGAGCTGCATGCCCAAGCTAGCTCTCAGCCTTATCATGATCGTCTTGAAGCTTCGTATCTTGATTGTAGATCCAGCCCTGACAAAACGACACCGGACACTCATTCAATGCGGATCACAAGCCTAGACTTGGATACTCCTTTGTGAAAAGTCTTCGAGAGCGTACATGTAACTCCGGCCGCGACCCTCTTGTGAATGTTTTGTAGGCAGCCTTTTGATCCGCTTTGCAGCGGAACGTTGCATCGCACAGAGGCAAAACTCGCAAGACCCTGGTCTGTAGGAGATCTCGGGCCAGAATCGAAACCTCTGTCTGTAGACTCTACAGCTCACGCTAAACAGCTCAACCGGACTTTTCAACCCTAAACTCATAAGCCATGAACCCCAAGGGCATTTTGCAAGTTCATGTCGGATCATGAACTTTGCCGAGGCCGCATCCTGTACCCACCGCCATTGGCGAACTTGCAAACTCGATGTGCGCAGAAGTATAGCATGAGGGTTTCTTTACATTTCATTGAGGTTGTCTACGGTTCTGTAAGGGGTTAGCTAGGAATCACTCTTCACGCTCATATCATGATAGAAAACCCAACGGCTAGAAACAAGCTTGAGCCAACGGGCCTTATAGAGAACGCATGGATCTGCGAGCCGTGGCTTTCAGTACATGTGTGATTTGATAGTTGCTGTTGCAGTCCTGTCCCTGAAAGGGGTCTTTGGGTTCCGTTGAAGGGGCCTATAGGGGTTGCTATAGTTACTATAAGCGTTCCTAATATGGGCTTTCGATGATGGTGCTTTAGCGCCGTCATTCCCTGCACCTGGCAGGCTTGCCCCGGAGTCTTTAATGGCTCGAGTAGTGTACCCCTAACTAATACCGTGTGCCTAAACCTTAGCCGGTAGCCCCAAGCCCACAGAAACCGGAAACCCTCGCCTTCTCAAAAGCCCTAGTGATCAAACCGTTTTGGACGCTGGTAGAGAAAGCCCGAAGTCGTGTCTAAGGAACCCTAAACCCCCAAACCCTAAACCCAAACCCCCAAACCCTAAACCCTCAACCCTAAACCCTACACAGCGCTTTCCGCAACCTGCGGATTCGGCCGACCTTAACGGCTAGGCGGAAAAGGGCATCAACCCTAAACCCTAAACCCTAAACCCCAAACCCAAAACCCTAAACCCTAAACCCTAAACTCTAAACCGTTTAGGGTTTAGGGTTTAGGGTTTATATCGTTGAGGTGCCCTTGCAGTGGCAGCTCAAAGAGCTCTTTGAAATCCTTGGTCAGGGCCTGGAAGGACCTGCGAAGGGCTTAGGGTTTAGGATTGTTTAGGGGTTCCGGTTAAGGATTTATAATTTGGGAGTTTCCGAAAATAGGGGACCCTAATATAGTACCCTAGATAGTAGGATCCTTATTATAAGGACCCCAAAATCAGGTACCCCTAATTTTCGGAAACCCCCATTTAGGGTTTTAGAAACCCGAAGGGCTCTGCCTCTAGGGCTTATAGGAGTTTGAGGAAAGAAGAGTTTAGGAATGTAGGGTTTCAGAGTTTTGGAGCTGTAGGAATGTCGGGTTTGGGAGTTCAGGGTTTGGGAGTTTAGGTCTCCGGAGTTTGAGGAATGTATGGTTTAGGAGTTTGGGGGTTTGGAGTTGGGAGTTTAGGCTTGGGTTGTTGTTGGGATGTAGGGTTTAGGAGTGTAGGGTTTAGGAGTTTAGGGTTAAGGAACTTTGGGAAAGTAGGGTGTAGGAGTGTAGGAGCATAGGGTTAGGGAATTTGGGGAAAGTAGGGTTCAGGAGTTTAGGGTTTAGAGGTTAGGGGCAAGGAATTTTGGGAAAGTTGGATTTAGGAGTTTCCCTAAATCAGATTAGGGCTAAGGAGTTTTGGGAATGTAGGGTTCAAGAGTTTAGGGTTTAGGAGTTTAGGAGTTAGCGTAAAAACTTGGGAATGTAGGGTTAAGGAGTGTAGGGTTTACGTAGTTTAGGAGTTGAGTTAAGGTTAAGGGTTTGTTGGAGTGTAGGGTTTAGGAGTTTAGGGTGTGCGAGGTTAAGGATTTTTTGGGAAGAAGGGTTCACGAGTTCAGCGTTAAGGAGTTTTGGGAATGTAGTGTGCAGGAGTTTAGGGTTGAGGAGTTCAGGGTTAAGGAACTGTGGGAATGTAGGGTTCATGAGTTTAGGGTTTAGGAGTTTAGGGTTAAGGAATTTTGGGAAGTAGAGTTCATGAGTTCAGGGTTTAGTTCGGAGTTCAGGAGTTTAGAGTAGGGTTTAGGGAGGGTTTAGGGTTTCGGGTTTAGGGAGGGTTTCGGGTTTAGGCTTTAGGAAGGGTTGAGGGTTTACCGTCGACCGTTTAGGGTATCATCGCTATCACCCCAACGCCTCATCTCCAGACACTTGCTTTTGGTGCAGGGCAAGCGAACCTCATGCCGGGAGCCCTCAGCTTCCATGCCAGATTGGGAAACGGTTTAAAGTTTAGGGTTGCCCTAAACCCTAAACGCTTAGGGTTTGGGTTTTAGGAGTTGGGGTTCATGGGTTTAGTGCGTAGGGCATTGGCCAACTCCTACCGGAGCTTGATGCTTAAACCGATCCACTGTTGGTTCTAGTAAGGGGTGTTCTGGTGCAGTTTTCCTACACCCGAAGCCTACGTAAGCCCTGATATAGCAGCCTCGCAAGCCCAAGCCAGCCCTCGAAGCCGAGAGCTGCTGCAGACTGCTCGGCCCCGTCACATTGAGATGTGGAGACTTACGGAAAGTCGGGCTCAAGCCTCCACGGAGTTCTCAAGGCCTGCTCTTCCTGCCGACGAAGAAGCGGTAAATATCCAAAAGAACCCTGTGCCTTACCCTCGCAGTGAGATGGAGTCTTGAGTCCTAGGCACACCTTGAACTCCACCACCGTCGTGTGCTTCTGTGACAGAGAGGTTCGTCCGCCGAAAAGTCGTGGAATGGTGAATCGGCGAGGTTTCTTCTTGGTAGAGTTACTCTCGTCGTTTGTACTGCTGCTGATTTGGTAGTTGTGAGTGCTGGTATATGCATGTGTTATTCTGTTGCTGCAATGAGTCACAGTCAAGGTTTGCCTGGGCAATCCTGAATCTGTGACTTTTCAAAGCGATGGACAGACACCAGGGTTTCACCAGGCTGCACAGCAAGTCGTTTTGCAATCTGATGTTCCGGGTGCTTGAGAGGGATTCAAAAGTCGATCAAGCCCCAACATCCATTCAGGATCACATCCCCAACAACCCAAACCCTCAACTCCTAAAGCCCCTGCAAAGCGGCAGCTGCACCCTGGAAATCCAGCCTTTCCTGCCAGAGCCGAATATGTGCAAATAAGCATCTAATATACTTCTTACACACGCACTTATAGGGCTCCCTATATATATATATATATATATATATATATATATATAGATTAGGTATAGATATATAGACTTAAAACCCTTGTAGAAGCCCTTTCTGATGCAGGGTCTGCTGACCGACACCTGCACATCGGTGGCCGAGGCCGGCTCTGAAACTCATGAGGTCACGGCCCGATCAGCGATGGGTTTCGGGGTAGGGCCTTGCAGTCAAAGTCACGGACCTCAGCATCACCACGAGACCCGTGGACTCTATCTAATATCGAGGCCTTATGAATTACCTATTACTATGTTGGGGGTTCCTGAGGATAATTACAGTATAGTTAATGGGCCCCAAAACCCTTTTCTGATTATGAAGGCCCCTGTATTCGAAACTACTGGCTTTTGGCAGGTCTGCCTTTGCAGCTCACGCAGGCCGGCGGCCAAAGTGGCATGCGATGTGTGGGAGTGGCAGGTCCGGGTTCGTAGAGGATACCAGGATGTGCCGGCTTCAAAGCTAGTGCCTAGGTTCTCTGTTGAAACTCCTCATTGCAGTAGGGAGTTCTTATAAGAGCTTGCTCACGACCCGAATGTATTGCACACCGGTGTGGGAGACCGATTTCCTGTATTATATGATGCAAATCATGCATCTTCAGTTGGGTCCCAAACCCCGCACCCCAAAGCCCTTTAGAAAGACAGAAACGTGAACCTGAACGAATCTGCAATCTGGGTGCCTCTTGTCGCATGCCTGCAGACTTGTCAGAGGCCACGGAAGCACAGTGTCTTCAGCGAAGGAGCCTGCAGCCACAGTCGAGCCGGATCCTGAGCACTTCTCTATGATTCGAATATAGGGTCTGGGGGCGCGGCTAGTTACGGACTGTAAGAGGACATGAGTACTTCTTATGCCGACCCTTATATTACGGGCACTCGCTTGGGGCTTTCTGCTCTCAGTAACTTGGAGTCTAAGTTGTTAGGGCCTGCAGGCCTTGTTTGCTTTTGGGCTTCGGGATGTAGTGTCTCGGGGCTTGTTGAGCTTCTACCAGGGGTTCGAGGATGTATGAGTTCAGGTTTCAGGAGTATTGATTGCTCTATGGTGCGAGATGCAGACGTCTGAGGACATAGCACCAGCACCCCCAAATAAGCCACTGTAGAGATACACTATGAGCTAACATGCTAACCGACTCCTACATTACTTTCCGACTTCAA